GAAGGTTGGTCTTTGAATTATTAACTCTTAATTAAGCCCATTATACTTCGTGATATAAGCTGCAATTTTGTTTCCTCCATTTGTCAATTGACGTTTGGTTATGCTGTTTTACCCTCTCTTGCAATATTTTAAATTGAACTTCAAGTTGATGTCCAGTTTATTATTTATATTTAGCAATGTAAGTGTGGCACAGTACACTTTAAAAACAACTATTAAAACCAGAATTACACAGAAATTAGCTGTAATCATATACAAATCTATTCTTAAATACCCAGAAAGATTCTGATATTTTCTAGAGGTCATTAGTATGGCTGGTAATATCACACCAAATGAATTTTTGATCTATAAGGCTATGGATCTCTTAGAGACTTCTAGGCCATTTACTGAGAAAGTGTCAATACATGGTTATTAGTTTGGTAAATTCTTAAGTCATGCTTTCCCAGTTAATTTAGTGTATTCTGTATCCATTCAAAAGTAAGCTACTAATTTTATATAAAAATTATCCTTTTATTTAAATTTTAGTTTTTTTTTTTTTTATACAGAACATAGTACAAAGTACTTCTGAAATAGAGGTTAGGAAATATCCAAAGCTTTTTTTTCCCCCCAGATATTTCTCTGGAATAGTCTTAACCCATCTTCCTGATAATCATTGACTGCCTTTTTAATAAACAAAAATTACTTAGTTTTCTTTGAGAAAGTGAAAACTGATATAGCATATATTTTACTACAATCTGTCTAAAAGGAGTGGATGCTGCACTATAAACAAAAAAAGAATGTATTTAAGAAAATCAGACATATATGTGTAAAGAAACTTAAATGAAGACAGATTAGCAGAAAGCGAGTTAAAACATTAAAAGCGGTTATCACCAGGTATTATAGTATAATCATGTGTGACTTATTTAGGTTTCATATCTTTCTTCTGCATTTTTGAAATTCTCCTAATGAGTCCATTCCATATTACAGTTAACCCTTGAACAACATGAGTTTGAACTGCATGGATCCACTTATACGTGTATATTTTTCAATTAAAATACAGTTGGCCCTCCGTGTCCCCAGATTTTGCATCCAGGATTCAGCGAATCAGATCAGCAACAGTATTTTCATTTAGGCAGCATCACTAACTTTCACATTGTTCAAGGGTCATCTGCATAACCAATTGAAAATAAGACAGAAAAAGGGACCGGCCGAGTGGCTCAGTTGGTTAAGAGCTCGCTCAAGAGTTTGAGTTCTGAGCAACAGCGGTTCGAGGCCAGCCCGAGCTGAGCAGCCGCTAAGCTGCCAATAGGTAGCAGGATGGCTCAGCTAAAAATAAAAAATAAAAAATAAGACAGAAAAATGACAAACTTGTAAACAGAGATCCTAGGCAATGCCGTCTTCCTTTAAGGGGTTGAGACTGTTTCTGTATCCTAAGTGCAGTCTTTCCCCCTGACTAGATAATGTGCGCTTTCAGCACAAGGAAAGGGGCGATGGGGTGACAATAACACAGGCTGAGAGGAGGGAGCATCAGTAGGTATTGGGAGAGCATCAGCGTCTTCAAGGGCACCTGTTTGCGTCTCTGTGAAGTCACTTCAAACATTTTATGAGTCTCAGATCTTACTTTGTTAAAATGAATTGGCTCCTTTCCAAGGATCATTTTAATTCGAGGTGCTCTCCAGCTTTATAGTACACAGTCAAGGAATGACGCTGAAATAACAAGAATTTTTATTTAGGTGACAGCATGGTTGACAACTGAACTACCCAGGATTTATATGCTGATAATCATTATGCTGGCATTACACATATTACAAGTTCAGAAAAAGTGTTTATTGACCTCTGTTGTGGTTGCACAAGAAAGTATGGCATAAATTGAGACACTGTGTCGATAAGAGAGATTAATGATTAACTTACCTTTCCTCATTGCTTCTTTGGTCAAAAGAAAAGTGTTCTCAGAGTTGAGCAACTAAATAAAAAGAGCCTTATTCCAGAAAACATATGTACAGGTCCATCATAACACACAAATTATGTCCCTGAGTCTCTTTTCTGAACCCTGGTTGTATCCGGGCAAATAAACAGGATCTGGTAGTTTGGAGGAGGGTCAGCCTCAGATAGCACATGCTCCTCCTCTACTCACAGCGAAGACTGAAAGAAGCTATTGTATAGTCAAAGGCATACGAATGCTTCCTGGGCCATGTGGAAGCCTACCCTCACCTTAAGGCCAAGAACACTGTCCTTCGACCAATGGACAGACCCCCTGAGGAGGCCCATCAGCTCACCTGGCACCCCAGTAATTACGGCCACTGGATTCCTCATCATTGTTCTCTGTCTAGCTCACAGTCTTCCCAACGTCATGTGTCATGCATCAGCACGGAGCATTCTCACGTCCTTCAACAAGCAGCTGTGTCTTTGCAGTCTGCCTCTGACTATATTATCCCCTCCACCCCTGTACCTGGCCTGGGCACACAGGTCTTCAGCTTGGTACAGACGCTAACTCACTCCTTGTCTACCAGATGTTGCCACAAATGGTTAACATTGTTTCTGTAGAACACCTGTGGTCAAAATTCTAATCATAAAAGAGAAATTTGAGACAAATTCATTAAGGGCTCTACCTCATTATTAAAAGGTAGTTAACGCCCGGCCTGGTGGCTCAGCTGGTGAGATTGCATGCTCTTAACAACAAGGTTGCCAATTCAACTCCCACATGGAATGGTGGGCTGTGCCCCCTTCCCCGCCCCCTGCAACTAAGACCCTGCAACTAAGGTTAAATACAGCGCCTTGAGCTGAGCAGCTGCAAGCTGCTGACGGGCAGCTGGATGGCTCAGTTGGTTAGAGCACCTGCTCTTAACAAGGTTGCCGGTTGGATTCCTGCATGGGATGGTGGGCTGCGTGCCCCCACCTCCTGCAACTAGATTGAAAGCGGCGACTGCACTTGGAGCTGAGCTGCACCCTCAACAACTAAGATTGAAGGACAACAACTTGACTTGGACCTGATGGGTCCTGGAAAAACACAATGTTCCCTTCCTCAATTCCCCAACACTGTTCCCTTCCCCAATTCCCCAATAAAGTCTTAAAAAAAAAAAGGTAGTTAATAACCAATGTACACAATTGGAGATGCACCTTGGTGTAAAAGAATGTTTCCAAAATGTTGAGGAAAAACAAAATTTAAATTCATTCTTAAATATTTACTAAACACTTCTTTGATTAAGTTTATATGCAGAAATTTGGGGAAATTGAAAAACGCAGTCCTTACTCATAAGTTAATTTGGCATGGGGAAAAAAAGCCACATAAGCACAGTGTATAGTACATTATAAGTGACTAATTAAGGTTTAAAGAATCAATGAATGAGCAGGTGAATGGATGCAATAGAGTTAATAGGCAAAAAATAACGAATGAAATGTTGAATACTGTGGGATATATTTACATACAGTTTTTCACAATGGGGGAGAATTGTTTGGTTAAAACAAAACCAGATCAATAAAATCTCAAGGTATAACCCTGCAAATGTAAAATAATATGCAAAGAAGCTTAACAATAATAATCACTGGATGGAAGGTATTACAAGTAATTTTAATATTTTTGCTGTATTTTCTATGTTTTCAATAATGGTCACATATTACCCTTAAAACAAAATAATTTATTTAAAAATGGTATAGACAGGAAGTGCTGTGAGTTCCAAAGAGAGATACTACTTTGGACTGGAGTTGTTTTGGAGAGCTTCTTGGGTGGCGAATTCTGAGCTGGTTTAATGCGACTTAGATTGGAAGAAAGGTGGAAACATGTTTTATGCAGGTAATCTGGGAGGAATGAGGCCAAATCATATATATCTTAAGCAGTCTTCTGGAATATTTTTAAATTAACTTCTATAAAAGCAACAATTGCCCTCATAGTCTGGTTATTTTGTCTGTTTATATTTGGTGACAGCATGGCTGGCTACAATTCAGTTTTATACAGCTTTTCCATCAAAGTACCCCAATAGTTAAGGAAAGAAAACAAATGCATCACTCCAAGAGCCTTGGAGACTAACGTAAAGCATCTCTGAAAGTACAATATTTTCTGTCTTATTTTATCTTGAAATTTCCTGCATTGTTTTCCTTCTGCTCCTGTATATATGTATTCATGTTAATACACAAATAATGCTATTTTCCCATCAAACTATTGGAATAACATCAGAAAAAATATTCTAGGAAGCCATGCCACTTCATTCATGACTTCTAGATCCCCTTGGTATACTAGCCACACACTCTCTGGGCATGTGTAAAAACTCATTTGAGAAGGATCAAGATAAATGATCATTAAAGCTTCAAAAATTAAATGACCAATTCTGAATTACTAAATAGCCATTACATTCAATTTGCTTCCCTAAACAGTCATGAAAACAAGATGTTCGACAGAAACAATATGAGTAGAAGCCAGATAGTAAACAAGGCTTTGCATATTCATTTCTACTTAAGATAATATTGACCATACCCTGTATATTTTTGTTTAGAAAAATTGAATTGCCTTTAACTTGATTAACTATAAAATGCCTCTCCTACCCTTTTCCTGTGGCCACTTCCATTGTCTTCTGTTGAATTTAGGATTTCTGACATGTGTGTAGATATAAAATACCAGGTTTAGATGAATGAACTTTGATATGAGAAAGAGGTAGGACAGAAAGAAAAGGAAATTTACTAAAAAAAATGTGGTGTTCTTGCTTTTGCTTTTCATAGGAGTGGCCTAACCTCTTTCTAGGGCTTTTGGTACTTTCATGTCTGAAAATGCCCTGGAAATCTGATGAATAGGAAATTTTGGATTCCTGGGCATAGCCAGAGTAAGCAAGGGCTGGATGAATTCCTCTGCATGATAAAGAAAAATGGAATTTTGAATTTAAGAAAACCATGAGTTCTACTGAGGTACTATTGAGGTACCCTGAGAATACATTACAGATCTGAACAAAGGGGACAATTGTTTAATGTGAGGGAGGCCTGGAAAAAGAGTAGAAAGCCAAAGCTTAAAGGGGCACTAGCCAGTGGGAAAATCCTCATATTTTGATACAGTTCAGACTTCAATAAACGCTCCCTCTTAAGGTCCAGATAGAAAATATTTTGGCTTTGTGTACCATGCAGTCTCCAGGTCTCTGCATCATCTATAGTTGTCCCCCCTTATCCACGGTTTCCCTTTCCACAGTTTCAGTTACCCACAGTCGACAACATTCCAAACACATTAAAAGAAAAACCAGAAATACACAATTCATAAGTTTTAAATTGCACGCCGTTCTGAGTAAAATCATGAAATCTCATGCCATGCTGCCTGGGACATGAACCATTCCTTTGTCCACGGTTATACACTCCCCACCCAGTAGACACATAGTAGCCCTTTGGGTTATAAGATGGACTGTCACAGTATCACAGTGCTTGTGTTCAAGTAACCCTGATTTTACTCATCAATGGACCAAAGTGCAAGAGTCGTGATACTGGCAATTTGATATGCAAAGGAGAAGCTTTAAAGTGCTTCCTTTAAGTGAAAAGGTGAAAGTTTTTGACTTCAGAAAAGGAAAAAAAAATTCTGAGATTGGTAAAATCTGCAGTAAGAATGAATTTTCTACCTATACAATTATGAAGAATGAAATAGAAATTTGTGCTATGTTTGCTGTCATACCTCAAACTACAAAAGTATGGCCACAGTGTGTGATAAGTGCATAGTTAGGATGGAAAAGTCATTAAACTTTATCATAGGCATGTATGTACAGGAAAAGAAAAACAGTATATACAGGGTTCAGTACTGGCCACAGTATCAGGAATCCACTGCCGGCCTTAGAATGCACGCCCGAGGATAAGGGGGAACCACTGTGTTCAACTCAGCTGCTGTCCTGTGAAAGCAGTGATAGATAATAAGTAAACCAACGGGTGTAGCTGTGTTCCAGTAAAACCTTACTTACAAAAACAGCTACTTTTTAGTACAATGACTTCTAATACTCAACTCTATGTTGTGTGCCACTTTGGGTTGTAGTGTAATTTCCCTTTTCACCCCAAACATTTAACAAACAGCTGAATATTTGCTATACAACAGTTTTTGGGAAGGCTACTTCGAATGGATGGAATGAAGGGAGAGGATGTGGTAACAAGCCCAGTGGAGAGGACAGAAGGGAGACGGCAGTCATAGGAGACCACTTGAGGCATAGAATTCAGTGAACGTGGAAAAGGAGGGGAAGAGGAAAAGTGAAAGTCTCCACAGGATCCTTAAGGGGTCCTGCACATTTAAGGGAAGCTGGGGGCTTGCAGGCACACCCAAGTGGCAAGTGCTTGGGTTCCACAAGAAAAAGAAAAGCTTACTACTTCTCAAAGGTTCATAGCATCAAGGCACAAAAATATAGAAATGCTTTGAAAAACAGTGCCCATGCACAGCACTGACAGAGTCCTCATCCCAAATCATTGGAAACAAGGATAATTCAAGAAAGAATAACAACAACAAAGGTGTTTCCAGCTCCTGAAGTAGTTTCTAACTTCTTTGGTATCAATGATCCAACTGATGAAATATCTTATTCAGATCCCATTTCTGTGTTCGATATTTTAGGTGTTGAAAACATTTTGAATTCAATATGTGTATTAGGTACCTGCTATTTTCTTGATTTGCTTGGAGACATTGAGCATGATCACAGCTGCCTTCCTGGGGTTGTAAATGGATTTTCACTTCTGTAGATTTTTCATCTGTATTATTGCTAATTGGCAGGGGAGACAAAGATGGTAAAAATAACTATACACTTTTCAGTTTTGAAAGAAATTATTTAGTAGGTTTCATTTTGAAATTTTTGGCATAATTTGCCTCAGGTTTCTGAAATCTTTGTAAGATATGTAAAACAAAACAAAACAGAACCAAATCCTACTTTTTAAGATTAAGTAAATCTTGGATTAAGAAATAATACTAAAATTATCCTGTATATTATATCAGAACTCTAAATTGCTCATAGACAAGTGTCCATGCCTTAAAACAACACATTTCCATATTTCCAAAGTAATATTAATTAGGAAATATTGTTACAAGATTGTGATACTTAAGCTTCCCAAGGTAAATGGCTTTGCACTGAAATCTTACACAAGCCTTCCTTTTACCCTTATAGTGAAGATATCAGTTCTGTATTTTATACAGTTAATACCCATAGTTAAGAGAGCAACAGTAATTGTCATGACAGCGTATGAGAACTGACAGTAAAAAGAAGTATTTATCACTTTTAAATGTCAATAACAATAGTCATGTGTAAATAACAAGAGCTAACATGTCCTAACAGTCATCATAAGTGAGGCTTTGTGTGAAGCAAGGTAGGAACTCTTATTATCCCTGTTTTACAATGAAAATGAAGTTTAGAGATGGTAAGTGTCTTGCTCAGAGTCTCAAAGGTAGTAAGTGAGTGTGAACACAGGTCTTAATGATTGCAAAGCCCATGGCCTCACCTTGTATGCTATTTTTGCCTCTTTGGATGTTATTTAATAAACACTTCACTTTACATAAATGAAATGATAGATAATACCAGTTACCTTAGATTTCAAACATGCATTGATTTTAGGAATTTAAGAATGGAAGCACAAAGCGTTAATTCACCACACCACATCCCTCTACTTCCGTAATATTCTTGACCCTCTCATGGAATGCAGAATGAGGGTTCCACTCAAGACAAAAAAGAAGACTGTGATTCAGGAGCCCAAGTTTTCACAGGATGAGGAAGGGACAGCTTGAGATCCATGTCTGAGGAAGTAAGGGTTGTACATCCAGGTGGGATGGGCTTCCAAAGGGCAGTGACTATGTGTTTAGATGAGCAATGGCCTGAAAGTGGTCTAGATGATGAGTGGTACATAGGATATGAGGGAATACAACCTTAGTGAGTATATGTTGAATGACTGGCTATCCAGTTGGTTAATATGAGATAATAGACAATATACGAGTACATTGTTTCTGCCTGCACTTCCTGGCACAAATCTCCTGAAACCCTTGTTTAATTTTTTTTTTTTAGTTCAGAATCATTACTTCAATCTTTTTAAAAAAATTTTTGATTAGTTACAGGTGTACAAGACAATGTAACAGACATTTACACCCCTCATAAAGTAATAACCCCCCTCCCCCAATCTACTACCCCCTGACGTCGTATATAGCTGTTACAATTCCATTGACTCTATTCCCTATGCTGTACCCCACATCCCGTGACATATGTATGTATATATATATATATTACAGTCGATGTTCAATATGATTCAGCTTCAGCTCCAGGTGTACAGCGCAGTGATAAGAGTACTAGGAAAATCTTTTGTTCAAAAGGGGTGACTCTGGGTGGGCTTCTGGGTGTCTCCTGGAGAGCTCCTTGGTCACATGAAAGACCAAACTCTACTTAGGAGCTTGGAATTTTCAGCCCCTTCCCTCTCCCTTCAGAGAGGGGAGAGGGGTTAAAGATGGAATTAATAATTGATCATGCCTACCCGAGGAAGCCTTCAAAAAATCCCAACTGTACGGGGTCCAGAGAGCTTCCAAGTGGGTGAACACATCCATATAAGGGGAGGGTGATGCACCCCAACTCCACAGGGACAGAAGCTTAGGACCCTCTCGACCTCGCCCTATGTATCTCTTCATCTGGCTGTTTATCTGTATCCTTTATGATATCTTTTAGCTGACTGGTAAATGTAAGTAAATGTTTTCCTGAGTTCCATGAGCTGTTCTATCAAATTAATCAAACCCAAGGAGGGCATCAAGGGATTTATAGCCCTTGGGTCAAAAGCACAGGTGACAACCTGGACTTGTGATTGGATCTGAAGTCAGGTGAGAATGGTCTTGTGGGACTGAGCACTTAACGTGTGGGATCCGATGCTATCTCCAGGTCGATTCTGTTGGAATTGAATTAAATTAAGCTTAGGACACCTAGCTGTTATCACAGAGTTGCTTGGTGTGGGATAAAGTCTCATACATTTAGTGGCCATGAGGGTCAAAAGTGAAGTATTCTGTGTGAACAGTGAAGGAGACAGACAGGAGGAAACAGTGACTTTTTTTTTTTAACACAGGCTTTGTGGACATGGGAAAATACAGAGAGCTTTGCTGAGAGTGGCCTCAATGATTTTGTCACTCGATGCTTTGTACCAATGAAGACTTTAAAGCTTTATCTGACTGTGAATGAGAAGGCTCTTCTGTAGAGAAGTGGGTATGGATTAGAAATAACCTTTGGACCGGGCCTAAAGCCACATTGTGCCCCAAAGAATTGTTTGCAAAGATAACAAGAAAACAGATATTATGGTTACAGGATTGATGACTACCAGACTGAAAATTAAAAACATTCTTTAGAATAAACATCACTATGTTATCTGCCCCTATAGAAATGCCTTCCTGCTACTGATGCAATTGCTCCCCTTCGCTTTCTCATAAATACCCCTTGCCTTTGTCTCCTAATCAGACCAGTATTTGGGCTTCTGCCTGAATCAGTGCATCCTGAATAGTGATTCTTTGATCTCAAATAAATGCGGTTGCCTCTCACTTTGAAAGGCCTTTTAGGTTTAGGTTAACAGGTTCACGTTTTTGAGTCAGATAACTGAGACTAAAGCCCTAACTTTTAACAACTTCCTAGGTAGGATTTAAATCAAGTCGCTGAATTTCTCTGAATCTCAGAGTCTTCTCTGCTTTGGGATAACAATGCTATTGGGCCTACCTACCTCACAGTTGCTTTGAGGACCAAAGAAGACAATAAATTGTAAAGCATTATATAAACAAGCATATTAGCTTTTGCTACTCTCATTATTAATGTTGACTACTGTATAAATAGAGGTCGAAAATCATTACATAAAAATTAGTTTGAGTGCCTTAGGTGGTCCCTGCTCATAAGGCACTCACTGTCTGGAGAGGGGGATGGTGAGGAGTGTAGTGGATACCAAGAACATCAGAGATGAATTACCAGAATGTGGGGAATTCAAAGTGGGGGAGAGGGAGGAAATGAATACATCGTTTGCACGAAGTTCTGCTGCGATATTCTGCTTTTAAGAAGTTTATATTGGCATCCTTTGTGAAATGTCAGAACTTCAGCTTCTGTAATGCTTCTTTAGGAGACTGCATTTGTTTAGAAAACTGTTCACCTATATAGAATTTGCTAATCAAGATTATAACATTGATCTCTTTGACATTGACCTCACTGATTTTATTATAACAGAACCAACTAATCCAAAAGCTGCGGATGTTCTCTTCCCAATCAAAAATGTTTCTTTATTTAGATCTTAATCCTTGCAACATTTTTGCAAGTTTAAAAAGTAAATGGTGTTTATAAAAGATTTACTTTTTTAAATACCCAGTGCAAAGCTTCAGTTCTTCCACACTTGCAGACTGTGACATGTACACCAGTGCAACACACTATCTAACTTCTAGTGCCCTGATAGGGGTCTGTGTGTAGAGGTAGAAGTCTGGGACGTCTCAGAAAAACTGGGATACCAACTGCCCCATCAACACCTTTGGAACAATTCCTTCTGCTTATTTTCTCTTTTGTAAAACTCAAATCCTTCTTAAAATTCTAAGCTTTTTAAAAAAATTGTTCTTAGCATCCTATATATTTCTTTTAGTATGAATACTTCTCTATGCAATAGGTGCAGCAAAGGCCTTTTTTATAAGAATTACTACATCTGTTTATGCAGAAGCTACTTTATTTTATTTTATTTTTTCAGTTTTTCATTTCCTTCTCTTTGGGTTTCAGGAGGAGGCAAGAATAGTAATAAATATTTTCTAGGAGAATATGGCTGGACTTACCCTTTTTTGCACTTTAGAATCATCCAAAAGGAAACAAGGATGGGTAGAACAAAGAAGATCACACCAAAGCACGTGCCTAAGCAGTAAAACAAGGTAATTAAAAGCACAGAAAATATTTTCTTAGTTTAAGATATTCTTGTCATTCACCTGTACTATTTCATTAATGTACTAACTGGTCTCCTGTCTTCCACTCTTTACCCCTCCCATTCATCTTTCACCCAGAGATAGGAATGGTTTTCAAAACACATTTATCTGCGATGTCTGTGGAGAAAGTGAATGAATTCAAGATATTTCAGAATCATCAGGACTTACTTATAGATTGTATGTGAAGGATATCAGCGACAATTCATAGAGCTCTGGCATGAATAGTTGGATAGATAGGGCCACCATTTGTGGAGAAGGGGGAAACTCGAGAAAGGGGGGTAGGTATGGAGAAGAAAATTGAGTTCCATTTAGGATACGCTACTTTGAGATGTTTGTGAAAGTCAAGCTGGCAGATTACCTTTTGAACATAATGTTTGATAAATATAATAGATGACCACCTGCCTCCATGGCATCAGTTTTTAAAAGGTTAAGGCTATTTCAGCCTTTATCTTTGCTTTTCATGTCTTCCCTTGTGACACTTAATAAGCAAAAGACATTTAAAAAAAAACATGGAAAATATAACCCATAGGTTTTAAACTCTATCTTAATATCCAGTCCCTTTAGAGGTTGCCAATGATTCTTTAAAACGTAACTATGAACTCTGCTGTAAAAAATACCCCCACACAGGCTTACCTTGAAGATTTCCCCCCTGCTCCTTGTTTAATCTAGCGCATTATTGTTACGACTTTAGGGTTCTAGGAAAGGGTGATCAGAGCAGCTTGTAACCTTTATTCCAAAGGCAGCCTTTCAACAAGTATGTGAGAACAATATCGGAGCTCCTGGGCTGCAGCTCTCCATGGCCCTACACATGTCTGTTGTATAAGCCACAAGGCCAGAGCTATTCTATACAACACACTCTACCAATTCCCTTGGAAGAAAACTCTATTATAAAACTATTCCTCTTACATACGCAGATCACAAAACTGGGCTTAGAAAATTGGTTTTTGTGGCTTCCAGTTTGTGCAAGTGAGCACACTACCATCCTGAAGAATATTCCCGCTTTTATTCTCCAGCTATAATAAAATAAGATAAATGATTGTTCATTTGTAGTGGTTTGAAGATTTTATAGAACCTTTGATAAAGGACACTCACTCCATATGTCTATGAGGATATCAGTTTTGTAACACCAGGCCCTGAGTTTATCACTATTTTCTTTCTAATGAGGCTACAATGTAAGATAGTTTGATCTCTCTTTTTACATTTCATTCATTATAAGTGAATACTTACTGTTAAAGATGCTAGAGTTCCTCAGCAAACCCTTTATAAAACTTACCGACAATGAGAGCACTATGTGGGCCTAAAAGGAAGACAAAGGCCACAAATGCATTCATTAGTCTAGTACTTAACATAATTAAACAGAACCTCTCTGTTTAAATTGTCAGCGAGTGACAATTTATCCTTATTTTTATCAGTACACAGTCCAATTATTTTCTAACATAAAAAAAACCATTGGTTTTACTCAATCAAGCACATTTTCTCTTATGTACTTAGTGGTCTGTTTTATTTCCTTTTAACTTCATATTGTATCATACAAGTAATATAAATACAGCAAGAAATTTAAAAAGAGAACAAAAGAAAAATATCACACATGATCCTACCACCGTGAAATGCTTTGATACACTCCCTTCTGGTACATGTTCTCAAGCATGAATCTCTTTATCCATCTTACCTTTACACAGTGGAATTAAGTGCTCAATATATGCTAACTTTTACAACCATTGCTACCACCACCACCACCACTGCTGCTACTTGCATGATAACACTATTAGCCTTTCCTTATATTTTTCACATATTTCTTATCTGTCTACTGCCTTCTTACTTACTTTCCAAGTGTGCACATAAGACGTAAGTTAAATTTGGTGACCTTTTATGATTTTCTCTATCATATCAAAAAGTTCAGAGTTGGTCTTCTTCTAGCGGTTTGATAAGTATTCTTTTATTATTTTTATGTTAGCTTTTCTCTGTTGACTTTTACAACTTTTAACTCTTTATTATATCTGGTATTTAGGGTAAGAGAAAAAGAAAGTTTCCAAATTTTTTTCAATGCTACCTATATTATTTGATCATCTTTTCCTCCCCCGTGGATTGATGATGTCTCAGCTATTATATTTTATCTGTAAGATGCTTTTATTTTTATGTATAATAACCTTTATTTTGTTAATACCTATTTTGCTCCATTTATTTATAAAAATAAGTCTATTTTGTACTGTATAAAGTGACTTGTGGCTTTATAGTTTGTTTTAATATCTGGTATGGTGGTCCCCAGTTATGTGAATTTTCTGTCTTTCACGGCCTCATCTTCAGAATACTCCAAAGGCATTCAGTCAGTTAGGCAGTAAGCTTTTTGCCAAAGAAGGGAGTATAATTGGATATTAAGGGAGCATCAAGTTTATAGTTTGAAGATATTATTTGCAAATCATACGAACTATCACATTTAAGGGATTAACTGTAAAAAAATGGATCTTGAACAATCTTGGTATCCACATATTATAAATAAGAGTCATAAGAATGGGTGGGGGACAGCCTAGAACTTACTTAGATTAAGAAAAGTTATTCAGCACTGTACACCTGAAGCTGATGTTGTATAATATTGTATGTCAACTATAAGTGAATATGTATATATATATGTATGTGTGTGTTATATATAGTCAGACGTGGAGTATTATAGTGTGGGAGTGGAGTCAAGGGAATTGTAATAGATACGTATGATATTGGGAGGGGAAGTGGGGCAGCGGATTGGGGGAGGTGGGTTGCCACTTTGAGAGGTAAAAAGTATAACTATTGCACTGTGTTGTACAGCTGAAACTAATTCTAAAAAATGTCTATTTCATAATAAAAAATAATTAAAAGAAAAAAAAAAGAAAAGTTATTCATTGTGTTTTGCTCATCAGCTCCTTGATGTGTACCAGTGCAGGTGTTAGACTTTGTATCTTACATTACCCTCTAGTTGCCAGCAGAGGGCTACTCTTCTACAGAGCCCAATGACACATGATTTGTAAATCTGCTGTACCAACTTAAAATCCTGCAGCTACACCAGTGAGGTCGACCTAGCAGCTGGTCTCTGCACCTTGAAAGGTGCTTCCTGATTCATGCTGAAAGCATTCATTTTTAAAACTTATTTTATTAAGTGTTTTGGGGTGACATTGGTCAATAAGGCCTGCTTTATCGCTGATGTGCTCCTGACTTTTAAGGCTCCTGGCCTATGGACAAATCATTACTCTGGGATGTATGCAACAATAGAGTGATACAGACAGAAAAGGTTTAGCGGGAGCCCCCAAGAGAGATGGATGGGTTGAGAAGTGTGAGGGGAGCATGGCTGCTCTGACTCTCATTGCGAAGGGCTTTAGGAAAAGAATTAGGGCTCCTGTTGCACTCCTCATCTCTTACCACATGCCATAAACATCACACCACATTCAACGGCAGTATGAATGAATGAATGAACAGTATCACGACTGGAAAGGATGTACATTCCTTGTACTTGCACTTACTAGAGTTACATATGGCCAGAGGAGGGTTCCATGTGTCATCTGCCTGGCACTGGCTCCAGGGACTGCCTTCCAGAGTATACCCTTCTTCGCACTCCAAGGTTACATTATGTCCATATTGAAATACTTTGCTCGTGTCCAGGTCCTTCCGGATTCCATTCATAAACTGTGGGAGACTACATTTTACCTCTGAAATTAGAAAAAATCAGAAGGAAATTGATATTTTATTGATAATTGTTAGTTGTAACTGCCATAGTACAAAGATCTGTGACCCCAAACCTAGTTTCCCACCAGCAAAGATCAGTCAAGAGTTACTGACCGACCCCACATCTAATGATTTAAAACTCTCTGACTTTAATTTCTTAGGTAAAGTAAGGGAGTATGGAATGAAGTGTAATCCACTTTCAATATGGACAACTCTGCAACTGGAAAGCTATGGAAAGATTGGGAGTTAGGATACCCATGTGCTAGCCCTGGATCTACTGGGTCATATCATAAGGAAATAGGAATATCACATTAACTCTCTCTAGGAATACAACAAATATTGCTATTTTGTCTCAGGATTATGCATGTTTCTGGTCATTTGTATATAGAGAGCAAAGAAGTTAGTAAATAATGATTCTGAAATTAAACATCAAATTTCTGCTTAATTTACTTTATCTCATTTAGCTCAACCTTTGTTTTCTTATCTTTCTCTGCCAAGCCATCAATACTTGCTTCAATTTAAGCAAAGTCTACTTTTCAGTTGGCTATCTCAAAATTAGCCTAAATTCTTTTTTTATTGATAAGCACCAACAAGGTAAAGCACTATTTCTCAAAGTATGGTCTGTGGTTATCCTACGTCAGAGTATTCTGATGGGTTTGTTAAAAACAGATGTCTGGACCTCAGCTCAAAATGTCAAAAACGGAGTTCTTGGGAATACAGATTAAGAATCTGTCTTTTTAACAAGGTTTGTGCCTGATTTTGCTAATGCTAAACATGGAAAAGGAATAAATCATGTTTGAAGAGGACAGTTATTAAGGCGAAATGAGTTTTACACTTAAGTAAAAACAAAGCAGCTACCAAGAGAATAGAATAGTAGTCTTTTCTTTTTCAGGATGACTATCTCAGAGTCTTAATTTGAATAATAATCATTGAACTATTCCCCGAATCTTCATATGTCTTATGTAAATAAAGCAAGGATGGTTGAGCTTTCTGGCTTCTACAGAGTGACAGCAACTCTGTAAGTGCCATTCACTCTTGCAATAATCACAACAGTCACTTACCATCACTATGGTGGGCCACATTTTATCTATCTCTAAAATCTAGGGCTAGGAGGTCAAGAAGGATTTCTGAAATGTTTAGGTTGGGGAGGGTGCTATGATTCTATTACCACAGCAGCCATCAGACTAACCAGTCCTTAATATTAGAAACACAGGGATATCTGTAATCCCTTATACCTCATCCCTGTCTTTACATAGTATTTCTAAAATGAAAGAATAGAAGAGAAACAAGCAAAGCAAAATCACTTAACTTACAGTTTTGCAAAGTCAAAAGAGCTACATTTAAAAGCAGACAGTAGAGTTCAGTGTTGAAAAGCAGGGGCTGAAGAGGGGTCCAATCCTAGCACCACTACTCGTGAGCTGTGGATCATGGACTGGTCACTGGGTCTCTCTACAATTCCCTGCTCTGGAAGAGAGCAAGACTAATAATCCTACCTTATCAGATTCTTCTAGAGACTCACACAAATCACTTTTGTAAAGATCTCAGTACCATACCTAGTCATAGAATATGATTTTTTTTTCACATTTTGTAGTTTTTTAGAATATTGCCAAGGAAGATTTTTAAGTCAGATGTTATTTTTGTAAACATAGACTGAAATAATGGAAATAATCCCTGGGACTTGTTCTAGGGAAGAGATGAAATAAACACCTCACCTTTGGTGTTGGAGATTATAAGAAGACTCCACATCTAGTGATTTCAGGAAATAATTGCTCTCAACCTTACTTCAGGCTTCAAATGTCCTCACAACAAACTATGCTCCTTGTCTCTTACTGACTTTCTAAAGGTATTTGTGAGGATCACCTGCAATCCTCTGAGATCCTTCAGAGCTAAAGTATTTTATTAGTTAAAAGCCTGTAAAGCATTTTATGTGTGTTCAATGTCTATCATATTACTGCAAAGTCCATCAGTTCTTCCTACTTACTCAGTAGAGTTGAGGACCCTTGGGCAGCCTTCCTTCTGCTGTTAGTTCTGCCTTTCCCCTCCTCTACTGATACTCATTTCATGATCCTCTCAGAAAAGATCTGTCAGTCTTATTAGCCTCATGCCTCAGTTTTCCATAAAAGCCCAGCAAGAGCAAGAGATACCTTTGCAATAATGATCAAATTGGCTCCAGGTTCCCTTGTGTGTACAGAAAATGAAGGCTTTTCCCATCAACACGTAGCCTGGGTCACAAGTGTAGCTGACTGTCATCCCAGGAAGATATGGAGATGCATGTCCTCCACTGTGATGCCCGTTGTGGATCTCAGGTGGATGTGGGCATGCTATCAGCAAGTTCCGTGAAAAACACAAGAAAAGTCATTCAGTTAAACAGAGAAGTATGAATACGCCAACACATGTAATGATATCTCTGACTATTAGAGCCACATGAAGGCCCAGATAGGCAGGTCTCAAAGCACAAAATGTTTGCTTATCAGTGGGAAGACTGCTTCTCTAAACCCAGACCTTTCAGCCTTTAAACAGGATCACCTGTATTCTCCGCCTGCAAACTGCCCCGGAAGGAAGTACCATGAGATCTACAAACTACCGATTCAATGCTGTCTGTCCTCACTGGACGTTGGACCTTGTGTGGACAATCACAGCCACGAAGGTACCTCCGATTGCCAGACACTGTCATGTAAAGCCAGACTAATAAGAAAATGGAATGAGGTACAGAGGCCAAGAGCACACCTTACACTCCACTTTTCCAGGGCATCCTGAGTTCCCTTTGCTAAAGGTGAGATGAAGGGTCAATGAAATGCAGTCACAGGCTGAGCAGAACACTTAGAAGTAACACAAGGCGTATAAATGCCTACAACTGACTTTCCTAATTATTCCTACAGCATTACCCATTCTGAAGTAAATTACTGCCATCAACATGTAAGTTTTGCTCTGCACACCTATCTATCTAGTATAAAATCAACTAATGATAGAGATGGCATAACTGAATGTTTCCTTTGGCATTTGTTTTCACTACTTTGGAAATATTCTCTATAAAATCTGTGCCTTACTGATTCTCTCCACTCTGTACTCCCTCCTCTCTTCACCATCCTACACACTCCTCACCCCAGCAGGAAGGGTCATCAAAGTATACCAATTAGGACAGAGTGTAGCACATTTAGAACCATCTGTTATTCGCCTGGCAGGTCATTCTGTACCGGATACTCATAACAAAGCCAGGTTCAGAAGCATAAACGACTGTCATTAAAGAAATAGGGAGGTTCTTGCCCAGCTATACTGATCCATCTGTGGAGTAGAGAAATATGCACTGACCAGGAAGACCAGCAGGTTCACAGCGAGGGGCAGGGCCGCTCCAAATCCCATTCCCTTGACTGTCACTTGTGCAGCGGATGGTGCTCTCCCCAATGAGATTGAAGGTCACTCCTCTGTCTGGGTGGGAGTCACACGTGTAGGTAATTTCTTTCCCATAGGGAATGTCTCCCAGAGAAGCTCCCGTGTGGCTCCCCTTAAGGATGGCTGGAGGATTTGGACAAAAGATTTCTAGAAAGAAAACAAGAACTTTAGGTTCTATTAGAGTGTCAATCAAAATGATTATACAATACTAGTGACCTGGGACTTTGATATAAACATATTTTTCTTTCTATGAGAACATGGCTGAGGTGGATGGAATTTAAATATATAAGACTTTTTCTGAGAAGGAACTAAGAAAGGTGAGACTTAAATGACAGTTTATTGCAAAAATCCCAAAAGAGCCTCCAGGTAGCTAAGTTTTTCATCAATTTGAAAGGAAATTAATTTTTTTCCCCAGCAACCATTTGATTGCCTGCTTTATGTGAGGCATTGTAACTGTCCTGGGTTGACCGTGAGGTACAAGACAAAGTTTTGGCCCTCGAAGATCTGAAGTTCCAGGGAAATCTTTGTGAAGTTTATTAAAAATGGACTATCATTTTCAGCAGATGTAAATGTTTCTTGATGACCATGACCATTATTATCAGTACCAACACCAAACACAGAATAGTGTCATCAGAATACTACACTAATTCCTATAGGGTTCTTTATAGCCAGATTAAAGGCACCAGGAAGCTTTTTTCGCCCCCTTCTTCTGTCATTTTTTCTTCCAAGTAACCAGCTGTCCTTTCTTCCTGCTGTGAGCGTATCAGTTTCTAGTAGTCCCCTCCCTAAAACTAATTTGTTACTTCTAATCTTATATGAATTTAGGAAGAGATACCCAAGCTTGTCAGAATTGGATGTGTAAACAAAGTGAGGGCCATAATACATATAATAATCATTGACTTTTCATACCTGGATTTTAGCTATGTGTTTATGTTTATCCAAAGTTTACTTATAAATTTATTTCCGGCTCATGTGTGTCGGGAAGGTTGCGTTTGCAGGACATCTGAGTTTTATAAATAGGGAATGTTCTCATAAAGTTCCACCGTAATCCCACAAAATGTCCAGATAGATTTCTACCAAGGTATTTTTATCAAAATCCAAATTAAAATGAACATTACCAAACATCAGGAAAAAGGGTTTTTTTCTAAAAAAAAGTCTTGCTTGTGTCAATAAACGAAGTAGGATAAATCAGTAACATCTTGGTGTATAAAACACTTTTATCTATTTACCAATTTCTGAATCTTCTGGATGCTTTTTTTAAGTGGGGGGGTTTGGAAATTTAGGACATCTCACCTCATCATTTTAAATATGGACTCACCTCCCAGTACCGTATTAATTTATCATATAATTGTTTTCTTTTATCTTTAACACATCACTTTTAACATACCATTTTATGTATTCCAGTTTTTATATGTTTACTTATATATTTTCTTGTTCATGGTCTGCCTCCCCAAGCAAATGAACCTCATGAGAGCCGGAATAGGTCTTTCCTACTCAGTACTCGCCCATGTGAAGTCCTGGCATGTGGGAAGCCCCTCCTCAGTAAATACTTTAGATATGTGAGGGAATAAAAGGACATATAAATTTAAGAGAGATTAGTCCTCGGTGGCATAACTAAAAAACGAGTGGATAAATGAATTACGGTGGACCTTAGTGTCATCTAGTTTCTCCCTACATATTCCCCACAAAATTCAACACGGGCATTAACCTAGTGACTTACAGATTAGTAACAGAAACACATGGTGTATAAGACCTACATGACTGATTTTGACGTTTTCCAACAAAACAGTATTTTTATCAGTAATTTGATGAAATAAAGATCCAGACAACAAGGATTCCATGAGGCCAGACACACTGGAAATAACAAGAAGGACAGATACCCAGGCTGCGTAGTCTTTCTACTCACGTTCACACACAGGAACACTGCTGTTCCAAAAGCTTTTCATTCCAACCAAGACACAATGACTAGCAGAGCTGCCTTTTAATCGGAACCTAAAGAAGAAAAGGGGTAGCAAATGGGTGAGCAAATCCCAGCTCTTCCTTCTTCTCGTCAATGATAGATAACTCTGCTTCCTCACTTCAGCCTAAATACCATGTGGTTCTTAGGTTCAGACCCAGGTATAAGTCTCAGTTCATTAGGGATCTGAATTCAGTAACTGGCAGAAACTCAGACACTGAATTATTCTAAAGCATCATGGTATCCTGTGAAGGGTGAAGTCATCAGAACTGGTACACTTAGTGGTCCTACAGACATCATAGCCCAGTGTCACCTACAGAAGCCACTGAACACAGAGCTGGACTCCTCCCTGTGCCATCTCTAGGGCACACTGACAGCGCTGTGACATCTTACTCTCATTAGTGAGTCATGAGGAAACAGCTCTCCACCTAGGCGAGCAAAGCAGAGAACATCTACAGAGAACTGGCATCACTGTTGCCACTACATTGGCAAGGGCCAGCAAGAGGCTCACAGAAGCATGCTGACCGAGTGTTCTAGGAAAAAAAAGGATGACGGGGGAGTCTTTGCCAACCTGAAAGGACCAGTTTATTATTGGATCCTGTTGTCCTTCTGAAATCTGCTGATTATTATTGGGTGATAGATTTTGTAAATATCAAAGATTCCTAGGGCCATATTAAAAGTAACTGCTGTGTTGCCCAATCTTGTGATCTCCCACAGACAGAGAGTGCACAACACCTAGAGTCCTAGATGCAAATGAACAACTGATAACACTAACTGAAACAATACCATTGGCCCTTACGACCCCAATGTCAACAATATTACAGATGAAAAGATACATGACTGGATTAAAAAATACTTATACATACACTTACAAATGCCATTATTGATTGATTTTAAGTTTCCTGAAAATACCCTGGCCTGACTTATCACATTGCAAATAATTTCTGTCTTATACATCAAACATTTTACTAGCAAGTGTTCCATAAAAATATATTTTCCTACCTCCAAACAACTATTTATCCATTTACTTTAAGTTTCAACCATAAATTCCAGGTCAGTACTTAACACTGAATTACATGTTCCATTTCTTTATTTCCTGATAGTGTTGCTACTGAGTCCTTCCACTTATTTCAAAATTGCCCGGATGTTAATATCTCTGGGTACTTCTCCTTTTCCATAGGTCAGCTCCCCTTTTTGGATTAACCCTTGAACCCAAGAGAGTCGCCATGCAGGTTACACTCACCCTTCATCACAAGTGAAGGACACTTTTGCCCCAAGCTGGAAATTAAGTGGAAAACTCACACGGCCATTAGGGAGTTGGTCCAGGAATTTAGTACATGATTTCACTAAGGAGACAAATCAAAACAAAACAAAACAGGAGTAAGACTGCCATGTGAAAGACAAAGATATACATCTGCAAACCAGAAGAGAGTGTAGGCACCTGCACATATGGGGGCTGCCGGGCTCCAGTCTCCCTGGGGTGTACAGCGCAGGGAAGCAGCCCCTCTGAGATCATAGCCGGGCTCACAGCTGTAGAACACTTCCTGTCCAGGGAAAAAGTTGTCCTTGTCCCTTAGTGTGTGTTTACCATGCAGGATTTCTGGAGGCAGCTGGCATACTGGGGGAAGAACAGGTCCAAACTTCCTGTCAGTTATGGGGCATCATTTGCTATACCCTGTGCCTGCCAGGGAGCTTAAAAATCCTAATTACAGGGCCGGCCGAGTGGCGCGATGGTTAAGAACTCGCTTGGAATGCCAGAGGGCCCCGGTTCGGATCCCACATATGAGGGCCAGTGACACTGCCCTCTACAGCTAAGATGCTGAACAACAGCTCAACCTGGAGCTGGGCTGCCCTGAGTCGCCGGCGACGGCGTGGGCTGCAGTCCCTGTGGCAGTGGGTTGCCATGGGCTACCGTGTGTAGCCAGCAGCCAGCGTGAGCGGCCAGCAGCCGCAGTGAGCGGCCGTCCAGAAGCCGGCGACTGATCTGCCTCACCCAGGAAGAGCGCAATGATGGTGCCAACTTGGGCCAGTGAAGCAACATCCTCCACAACTAGATTGAAGAACAAAACGACAGCAACTTGTCTGTTCCCCTTCCCCCAATTCCCCAGCACTGTTCCCATCCCCCCAATTCCCCAATAAAAATCTTAAAAAAAAAATCCTAATTACAGAGTATAGGTTTAAAAAAGAAAGGAATTGGTAGTTTTGTACCCATGTTTTACTGATGAGCAAACTAAGGCCACAGTTCAGAGCTGTGACTAGAACCAAGGTCGCTCCAACATTTTGTCTGTATTTATTTTCCTTTTTTTTTCTTTTTCACTGCTAAAATGTTCCTAAGACTACTGCTTTCCGGTACTGGCCATCCAGTCCAGAGCTGTGAGTGCTGGTGACTGGTTCCACTCTTAAAACTTCCTAAAAAAGGTAGTCTTCCTGGCAACAACAAAGGATACCTATGCCCAAGGCTCATCTAACAGACCCCTCACCCAGCTCACTGTAGAGTCAGTCATGCATCTCCCTTTGTGTTTCCTCCAAGCTCCACGTTCTGAACTGTAACCCTCCTCTGGATCCCCGTGTGCCCACCCTGATTCCTCCCACTCCACTGCTAAGCCAGCCGCCAACCCAGATTCCTCCCACTCCACTGCTAAGCCATCCGTTTCAGCAAAGAAGACAAGAGAAGCCATCAAGCATGAAATACACAGCTCCCTTTTTCTTCAAGAAAAAAAAAAAGCTATATACTTTTTAAAGAGAGAACATATTGCTTAGAGCATATTTTGATTTCCATTTTGGCTTCCATCCACAGTCCAATTGGTGTATGCTCAAGGCATTTGAGTTTCAATCTGAACCATATATAATTGAATAAAAATAAATATTTTTTTTGGATTTCAGCAAGTCATTTCTCCTTTATGAGCTGCAGGGTTTTCAGTAATAACATGGGGGAGTTCGATAGAATGAATGAAATCTAAGGCCTTTTTAATCGGATGCTAGCATTTTGGTCCCCATGACTAACTTGTCTACTGACCCCCACCGGTGATAGCTCTATGTCATTTTTATCATACATTATTATTCATCATACATGTCGCTATTACATTATCGTTAGGCTCTGCAATCAGGAAGGCTCTTGATTCCAGGCTTTGCAATTTACTATTTCTGTGACCTGTGCAAAGTTATTTAACACATCTAAGACTCAGTTTTTCTCACTGTAAAACGGGGATAAGAATAGTTCTTACTTCATATGCTTGCTCTAAGTAAAATTAAATGTATATAAATGTATATAAAATGTGTGTATTATAAATGAGACACAGTAAACTATTACTATTTGACAATTATTATGATTAGAGATAACAGAGAGTATTAAGTTTAGAGTGTTTATACCAGTTTCATAGTCCTTGTACACACACAAACGTCCACATACACACACCTTCCTTAATTTCAGGAAATCCTATCATCTATACCTACCCCCCACCCCCACCCCCTACCCCTAGCAGAGTCTCCGTGGATGAAACTTACCCCTGGAGCAGCTTGGCAGCTCAGGCACCCATGTGTTGTTGGCCCCGCATTGCACGGTGTTGGACCCTTTCATGACAAAGCCAGGTGGACATCTAAATCTCACAGTCTCATTTAAGGAAAATAAAGTCCTATTTCCTGATACTCTAATCCCATTTTCAACTTCTGGAATTGTGCATTTATTAGCAGAAATACATTGAGGAGGAGGGCTGCTCCAAACACCAAGTTGATCATCTTTGCTGGTACAGTATATAAACTGTTCTCCCACGAGGTCAAACAGCTTTTCTCCATCTGGCCCAGTATCACACTGATAAGTTACCACTGTTGCATATTGAAAACCATTTCTGTTGTTGCTGTAGAAGTCTCCATTGGATATGCCTCGGGGAGGCTCGCATGATATACCTGGGATAAGGAAGAGTATAGTAAACAACAACTTAGCTTTTAATTTTTTAAGACAATGTTTTTAGTGTAGTTTTAGGTTCAGAACAAAATTGAAGGGAAGTATAGCAATTTCCCATATACCCTCCACCCCTATACATACATAGATCCCGTGTCATCAAAAGGCCCCACCAGAGTAGTATGTGTGTTACAGTTGATGAACCTACATTGACACATCACAATAACTCAAAGTCCACAGTTTACATTTGGACCACTCTTGGGATTGCATATTCTGTGGGTTTGGACAAATATGTAATGGTATATATTGATCATTATGGTATCATGCAGAGTATTTTTACTGTCCTAAAATCCCCTCTGCTCTGCCTGTTAATCCCACCCACCACCCCAATCTCTGGCAACCAGTTTTTACAGTCTCTGTAGTTTTGCCTTTCTCAGAATATTTTTTTGAAATTTAGGTGTGCGTGATATTGGTTCTGTTCATAATAATTATTTTTGTAAAAATATTCATATATATTATGGTTTACCTATTTGTGATTTTAAGTGGGTAATCTATATGATTTTGTCATAGATAGTTATTTACTTATTGGTGGGCTATATTTTCTGTTGGTTGTTTAATAATGTCCTTTCAGGTTGAATATTCCACCTCTGGAACTACTCATCAAGAAAACAGAGAAAAAAAGAGAGTGCTATCAGCTTCTCTTGGTGACATGAGTTATTTCTTTTTTCTCTCCCCTTTTATTTACAACTAATTGGTCATTCATAACTGAACAAAAGTGCCTCTGCATGTTATACTAGAATGTCCAGGAGATTACTACCTACCTGTCCTTCAGAAAGTAAGTGGATAATTAGAACCTTGAAGAGGACAGTGGATCGAAGGGAGTTAGTGAAGCTGTCTCAACCCCACTAGCCACCACTGGGGAAAAAGTGAAACTGAAGAGTGCAAAACATGGTGGACCCTCAAGGGAGACAGAATTTGTGGAGGTCTAGCCAGCCTGATGGGAGAATGAGGCACTCCATTGAAGCTGGATACAGATATGTTTGGATACAGATATATCCCCCTCCCTGAGACAACACTGCGACACGCTGGGCTGTCACTGGTGGGGACAACAGTGATCTCCCTCACAGAGGAGTGGTAAAGCAAAAGCTGTATCCAGAGAGAGTGTATTTAGATAAAGCAGTGATTGCCCAACAGACCAGCTGTGCAGGTCGCAATTGGAGGGACCTGATGCTCTCCCACAGCATGGATTTCTGAGGAGTGACCTCTATGACTAGGTGTAGAGCTAAGGAAGGGAAAGAGGCAGACAAGAAGAACAAAGGGCATTGAAGGAACAGTGTCCCCCCTGCTGCCTGCTTTGGGATTTCAGCAGGAAGTCTGCCCTCACATCTCTGGGAGAACCCCCTTTTGAGCATTCACCTACTGGTCCATGGGCACCCACAAACTCTCTCAGTTGCTAAGCCCACATCTTTCCCCACTCTGTTGCCAGCTTTCTCTACACCAGTTTTTTACCCATGCTCCCCCACGGCAGCCTCACAAGGAGGTCAGGTAAAAAGAAACCAAACATTTGAGCTATAGCACCCCCTTTTGGAAAACAAAAGAAAGGTTTCTAATCACCAGTTGAACTGTAACAAAGTAAACAACTAAAAGAGGAGTGTTCTACCTCAAGTGCCACAGCTGAGGCACATTTTGTCAAACACTGTGAAAAAACACTGTAATATGGTATTACAAGAAATAGATTATAATTCTCCAGCAACTGAACTCAAAGGCATGCAATATTGTGATCTAACTGATAAAGAGTTAAAAATAGCTATTGTGAAGAGATTCAGTGAGCTACAGAAAAGCTCAGAAGGGCAATTCAATGAACTGAGGAATAAAACTTGTGAACAGAGTGAGTTCTTTACCAAAGAGATTGAACAAATTGGGCTCCAAAATTTTGCCTCACCCACCATATTCACCTGACCTCTCGCCAACTGACTACCACTTCTTCAAATATCTCGACAACTTCTTGCAGGGAAAACACTTCCACAATGAGCAGGATATAGAAAATGCTTTCTAAGAGCTCCTCAAATCCCAAAGCATGGATTTTTATGCTACAGGAATAAATAAACTTATTTCTTGTTGGTAAAAATGTGTTGATTGTAATGGTTCTTATTTTGATTAATAAAGATGTGTTTGAGTCTAGTTATAATAATTTAAAATTAATGGTCTGAAACCGCAATTACTTTTGCACCAACCTGATAGAAACCTAAGTGTTCACCAACGAAAATGTGGTACATGTATACAACGAAACATTATTCAGCCATGAGAAAGGAGGACCTGTCATTTTTGATAACATTGGTGTATTTTGAGCACAGTGTGTTCAATGAGAAGTCAGACAAAGAGACAAGTACTGTATGATATTTATATGTGGAATTCTTAAAATTGTCCACTATTATAAATACAATTTCATTGAGTGTCTTTGGATAAAAATTATAAGGAAATTCCATGATTATTTTCTTGGGGAAAATTCTGGGAGATGGAGTTGCTAGATCAAAGGGTTATTTGCATTAATGCTTTTGTGTATATTGCTCATAAGCCTTCCAGAAGTTTGTGCCCACTTTTACTGACATTAATTCTGCATGTGATACTGATTTCTTCACAGCCTTGACACTCTACCAATTTGCAATCAGTCATTCATCCATGTCCCTGAAAGTTTTGGAGGTTCACTTTACAACATCTCATTGAATAGACAGAGTCAGCTCATCAAAAACAAATACAGCTAGGGTGTGAGCCTGAAAGAATGCAAAGGAATAAAGTGCAGAATCACCAGCGTCTTGGTAAAATTGTTAAGAAGTATAGATTGTTCTTGCACTGGACAGAGTAAGAACAATAAGGGAGTAATCTACTTCCTGGGATTGCCATGTGCTATTAAGAGGTGGCAGAGACAAGTTTAATTTTTCTAATGTCTTTTAAATTGACTCACTAAGAGCAGGATCTTTATACTGGGAAGAGTTCACTATCAAAGTGGATAAGTTACCTGAGTTCAATTTCATAGTTTCAGATAAATTACTTCCCAAAATTAAAAAACAAAATAAAACATAAACAGGTGAACCATGCAGCATATCACTACAATTTTCAAATATCTGAGAGACTACTCTGTGCAAGAAACATTAGGTTTTTTTCTTTGTAACTACAGGGGCGAATAGGGATCAAGTGGAGGGAAGTAGGGAAAAAGTATTTCCACTTACTCTCACAAGTAGGTGCCTCCTTATCCCAAGCAACGTTAGTGCCTAAGAGAAGACAAGCGGCATATGGGGAGCCAATGAGTCGATACCTAGAACCAAAGAATGAAAAATGATTATACGCCACACATATTTCCAACATAAGTCACCAAGAGAAAATAATAGCGGGAGGATGTTACAAATGACAGGACAGATGACAACATGGGAGAGCTCAAGGAAGAAACCCCATCTCCATCTGCAAACTAGCCCTTTAAGGCTAAGAACAAGCTTAAATTCCTACCTTTTTAATCCATCTCCATTCCTAGACCCTCACAACTCAATGTAATAATTCTTATATTCATAATGGCACAGTTTTGTACTTGGCTTTATGGAACCTCACAGTTATTTTATCCATGTCTACTTCCACCCAGGAAATTATGAGCTCCTTGATTGGCAGGGAAAATGTCTTATGGAAATATGTGCAATCTCTAGCCCTGGCTGAAAGATTTTTAAGCTTGGGGTGCTCAATAAATATTCGTTGATTGAAGGAAAGAATGATGGCTTTACTCTGAAAATTCAGTAAATGAGAGCCAGAGGAAACAGCTAATCATCTTCATACTTTAGGCAGGGGTACTCATTCACTGTGCCATAAAATCATTTGAAGTAGGCCACAAAATTTAGAATATTTTACCATCATTCACATTTTATTTATTATATCTCTATTGTTACTGCAAGGTTTTGTCACAAAGGATGCTCAGCTAACCTATACACCTGTTCCAGTGTACAGCAGGGCAAAACTAGATTAAGTTAAAGGTAAGGTGTATAGTAGTGCAATGTCATGTAACAGTGAGGAAGTTAGTGGACCAACTTCTAAGAACTTTGTCTCTTTATTACTTAAGACATGTCATCAGAGCAGTAACCACTTGTAGCAGAAACTATTGGTATCTCCAGTATCCAGTTTCCTTAGTAACAGAACCCTGTATTTTCAACTGGGCCAATGGCCACCTTCAAGAAAGGCTTCATTTCTCAGCTTTTCTTACAGTTGGAGGTAGTCACGTGACTACTCTCTGGCTATAGGAATGTAAGTGGAGTGTTCGGGAAGTGTCTCTAAAGGGTGAGTGTTCCCTTCTTCCATTCCTCTTCTTTGCTGGCTGCAGTTTGGACCATGAGGTGAGATGGAGTCTCAGATGGAAAATTCCCAGGTTTCTGTGGACCTTGGAGCCACCGATGAGTCCTAGACTTCCCATGGTTTTTAACCTGAGAGAGAAGTAAACTACTCTCTTGGTTAAGCCCCTGTTATTTTATTTTTACTGTCTTTTACAGCTGAATCTAATCTTACTTGATATATTATCTCTTCCCAAAAGAGTGACATAAAGATGACAGGAACCATGAGTATAGCAATGACAGTGAATATTTTTGCAGACACATTGAGTCACTTTTATATTTAGGTAGTGATTGAATTTTACTTATTGTTAATTATTTTCTATTGGCTATGTTGCAAAATCTTTTCAAGTATTCCAATGAATATTTCATCTTCAAAATTTCTGTAAACAATTTGAGAAACAATAGAATAAGGAAAGAAGATAATTATCTTTCCATAACATGTGTGTTTCCTTCTGCATGTCTCCTGTCACACATTTAAAAATTGCCTTCAGAGCACAGGATCATGGGTGTCCTCTGACTTTTGACCTTGTGAAGGTTGCTCTAAACCTGCTCACTATGACTAAGCTAGAGAGCTGGAGTAACAATGTGAAGTAGGTTCCAACCTATGTATGGCTGATAAAACAGTGAATATTTTTGCAGGTGTTTTAAGACACTAATGTGCTGCAATAGACAAATGATTTGCTATGTATTTACTCCTATTCTGTGGGTTGTTTTTTCACCCTGTTGATGGTGTCTTTAGGTTGACAGGAGCTGCAGTCATATAAATGACTGAAGAAGCTAAAAAAATCTGAGAACTCATAGTTGAGGAGATGGCGAGGACAGGTAGGAATCTGTACTTCACAGATATGGAATCGGTGCTTCTGTCGAATTTCACCAGCTCTCCCTTTTAAGGGTAATTCAGCCCAGTTCACATCTGGGTTACATGTATATTTTTAGATAAAAAAGTAAGAACTCCATTAGTGTACCCTCTCTGCATGCACTCTAATGCTTACATGCCCCAGAACTGATGTTACATTTAAGATTTACCCTCCCAGCCACTGCTTCAGAGTCCTCCAACTATAGTACTCACTGATCTCATTTGAAGATGTTTGCATGGTTCAACGAACATTTTTCCTTTTACTTATTTGGCAGGCTGGTCCTTTTGATCCAGTGAGTATCTTACCAGGTTTCACATGTACTACTTTTGGTGGGAACATGGTGCCCTCCCCTGGTTTATAATACAGATATGAAGGACGGACAATTAAGTTCACGAACTTTCCACCATGCACTTACCTGCAGATTGTTTTTACTTTTTTAGATTCCTTTGGTCATATTTTTATCTTTATCCAGAAATTTTATTGCTTACTTTTTGAAGTACAGGTGGCAGTAGTTTAGTTTGTCTATCTAAGACCAGGTCAGAGATTGACATTCCTATTCTGGAACTTGTATTTCAGATAGTGCTCCCAACTCACCCTTCATTGCAAGAATAATTAACTCTTGATCCAAACTGGGTATCTGTGTTTATATGTACCACCCCATTGAAGGGTTCTGGTGGAGTTCCACATGATTTTCCTATGGGAAAGAAGCAGAATTTGGCACTAGGTATACAGTTCAATTTACATTTATTATTAAGATTCAGACTAGAGTATAGCATACTGAACAGCCTATGTTATTCCACAGACCTGACCACTTTGAGAAAACACACCATACGTCCTTAAAATCAAGCAGCTATCGAACGCTGCTTTTAAAAGGACTACCTTGCATTCTCCCAGTAGAATTGTTTTCTCTTCCTGTCACTCTAAATCAAAGGCCTCATAATGTGGGATTTCCATTCATCTTTGTTAGCCAAGCACAGTTCACTGTGACCCACATAATTTTCTTTTGTGTCCCTTTTTCATTCATTTCATGGTTTTAGTCATCAAGGGTAACCTCCCCTCAGTGGGAAATTTCCCTCCAATTGCTTTTGTGAGAACCTTTTTCGTGAAATGAATATCTTGTCAAGGTGCAGGAACTCTGGACAATAAAAAGGGATGACCTACAAGTCCACCTTCCATTTAAATACCTTGGGCAAACTTAGATGTCTCACCTTCAAAATCAAAACAAATTAAATCAGACCCCATGGGGGCTTTAACACACATGAATTAGCTCCCAAGGTGGGGTTACTCACGTCTGCAGATATCTTCGGCACTTGACCAGACCAAGTTTTCTAAGCAGGTGATAGAGAACTTCTTCTCAAAATAGCCAGGGGAGCATTCGTAATTCAAAGATGTCCCAATTGGAAACTCAGACTCATCACTCAGGTTTGTAGCCTTGGCAAATGGAAATTGTTCTGGGGCTTTACAGTAACCTGGAGATCCAAACCACAGGAATACCAAAGTGAGCAATGAGACTTGCTCTCTACTTTCTCTTTCTCTCTGATTAAATTGATGTATGGGATTACAGAAACAGAGACTAATATGACGGGTAGTATTTTCTTCTTCTTGATATTACCTTCGGGTGGTGCTTTCCAACAACATATACACATTGGGGAATTTTTGCTACTTGAAGACTATTCACATTTCTGGCCCTTCTTCTCTTATTTCACCAAAGCAAGAAATTTAGCTAATAGTTTCACATGTTAGGACTCTTATCAGAGTGCCTGTATCTAAAGTTAACCATTCATATCCTCATTTATTGGTGCTAATATGCTCATGTATATCAAGATATATTTTACTGTCTCTTTCCACTTATTCCTTCCTACCTCATTCTCAGGGTGTGCCCTATAAGCTGTCTCTCTGGCATTAAATAGTAGTCACTTGTAGTGTGTTGGATGATATAGCCTCAAAAGATACATTCATCTAGGGTGATGTCAGAAGCATGGCCATGTGAGAGGACCCCCTGATCTCTCCCCTTGAAGTTACAAGTTGAACAGCTATAATTCAACAAAAGACCCCCTGCTGAACACCCAGCCATGTACAAGAGAGCCACACATCAAAACACTGGAAGGTGGATGAATGGGTGCAAACAGGGAAGGAGAGAAGAGAAAAGAACAGAGACGAGTGCCAAAAACACAGTCCGGAACTCACTGTGGGTCTCAAGAGAGGGGAGGATATCACTTTTCAGCCTTTTGGCTAAGATCAAGTGTAGGAATGTGGAGGAATCAGGCTGCAGTGTGCACTTTCTGTAGCCCCAAGCATTCCTGCCTGAGTGATCAGCATATACTATGGCTAAACCCAATGACTGGGGCAGAGATGGACTACAGAGGTGTGACAGCTGTGGTCTATCAGCCATCATTGTCAGACAGAAAGCATATCCACAGAGCATGGCCTCCTTCTCCCACCCTCCCAGAGCTGCCTTCCAGCACCCTCCCAGAGCTAGCAGCAGGACCCAGAAGCTGTAGCCATGAGTGTTGAGTTACAGAGCAGAAATAGCTACAGCCTTGAGAACTGGAGAGACAGACAGTTCCTGGGGGGGAGGGAGATGCAAGCTGCAGCCAATCCCAGTGACAAAGTTGGAGATACAGAGGTGAAGCAGCTGAGGTCTTGTAGCTACAAACCCACAAGCAACCTCTCCCAGGTTACTCCATCTCCATCCATAGTGGCTGATCTCAGAGGGAGCACCTGGGACACCTTGGGCAGTCAGCACTGCATCTGGTTGCAGGGGGCAGTGCTGAGATTATATGGGTTTGGCACCCCATCACCCAACACATTCCTCCACAGGGAGGTGCCCTGAGACTGAGGCAACCTAGTAACAGAGGAGACTCCCACATCCCCAGGGAATACAAAGCATTTTCTATCACGCAGCAGTGACCCCAGCAGCCTGAGCAATGCAAGAGTAAAATAAAACACTTGTGCTCCAGTACCACCTACAGGAAAACAAAAGAAAGACATCTTCTTATCAACCTGCTAAAGAGGTATTACTCAAGGAAAAAAAAAGAGTTCATTCCCATAAATGCCTAGGCAGGGAAATAACCCGTCAAATATGATGAGCAACAAGACAACAAGGTAGCTCAGAAATTAAACATAAAAACACGGAAATGTGATTTAAATGACAGAGAATTCAAGATTTAGTTTGAAAAAAAAACCCAGTGAGATGCAAAAAAACTCAGATAAGCAGTTTAATGAACTCAGAAATAAAATCAATGAACAAAAAGAGTACAGTACTAAAGAGATTGAAGCTTTAAAAAAGAACCAAATAGAAATTCTGGAGCTAAGAACGTAATAAAAACATGAAGAATGAACTAGTGAGCCTAGGAAATACAGCTGACCAGATAGAGAAAAGAATTGTGACATCACAGACAAAAATTGAGAAATGACACAGATGGAAGAAGAGAAAGCCTTGAGAAGACAAAAAGAAAGAGAGAGAGAAAGAGAGAGAAAGAAAGAAAGACTTTTATCTGACTCCATCAAAAAAAGCAATATAAGAATAACCGGTGTACCAAAAGGAGAAGAGAGGGAGAAGGAGACAGAGAACTTATTCAAATAAATAGTTAACGAGAGCCTCCCCAACCTGTGGAAAGAACTGGATCTTTGAATCCATGAAGCAAACAGACCACCTAGTTATCTTAAACCAAAAAGGTCATCTCCAAAGCACATTATATTCAAACTGTCAAAAATTCATGACAAAGAAAGACTTCTTAAGGCAGCCAAGGAAAAGAAGACGGTGCTTATTAAGGAAATCCCATTATAGGTTTGGTTTTTTGTTGTTGTTTTTTCCAGAAAATCTACAAGCTAGGAGGGAGTGGAATCAAATATTCAAAGTATTGTAAGAGAGAAATTATCAGCCAAAAATAACATGTCCAGCAAAGCTATCCTTTAGAAATGAAGAATAAATAAAGACTTTTCCAGGCATACAGAAGCTGAGGTCATTTACCACAGCAAGACCAGCATTACAGGAGATACTGAAGGGGGTTATTCTACCTGAAACAAAAAACAAAAAGACACAAAACTATGAGTAAGATGAAAGAGAGAAGCAGGAAATTGCAACCCTATTCAGAAGAGGATATTATATACTTAAATATAATATAAAGGTTAAAGGGCTTTAAAACATTTTCAATAAAAGAAGAAGATAATAGCTACTGCAACTTGGAAAGAAACTCACAACATAAACAGGGATAATTTGTGACAACAAAAACATAAAAGGGGGGGTGAAGGTCTGAATTTGCAATGGGGAATGGAAATAAGATGCATTCAGAAGAAAAAGGTCTACTGTATTTGTGATACTTTCTCTTGCATAAACTTAATGCTAATCACGCAAAAATAATCCAGAATTCAGACACATAACATAAAAAAGAGAAAACAGAGGGAAAAAATTACAGAATACCACCAAACTAGATAATAGACAGAAAAAGGGTAAAAAAACAATGGAGAAACAGAGCTACCAGAAAACAAAAGATAAAATGGCTATAGAAAATCCTCATACATCAATAATCACCCCAAATGTAAATGGACTGAACTCACCAACAAAAAATCACAAGGAGCAGATTGGATCAAAAAACAAAACAAAACCATACGCTGCCTTCAGGAGACATATCTCAGCTGCAAGGACAAATACAGACTCAAAATGAAAGGGTGTAAAACGATACTCCAAACAAATGGCATTCAAAGAAAAGTTGGGTGTAGCTGTACTTATATCTGACAAAATTGATTTCTAGATAAAAAAGGTACTAAGAGGCAAAGATGGGTATTTGATAATGATAAAGAGGACAATGCATCAAGAAGACATAACACTTATTAATATATGAAGCCTGACAATTAAGTTCACAAACTTGTTGCAATGATGTTGCTAACCTTTTTTGATATCAGAGTAATTATGCATTATGAATTTGTATCCACTGGACAAACAGTTAACCAAGTTTATGATTTGGAAGTGCTGAAAAGGCTGTGTGAAAAAGTGAGATGACCTGAACTTTTCACCAATTCATGGCTCTTGCATCATGACAATGCACCAGCTCACACAGCACTGTCTGTGAGGGAGTTTTCAGCCAGTATACAAATAACTGTATTGGAACACCCTCCCTACTCACATGACCTGGCCCCCAATGACTTCTTTCTTTACCCAAAGAGAAAGGCAATATTAAAAGGAAGACATTTTGATGATATTGAGGACATCAAAGGTAATACAATGACAGCTCTGATGGCCATTCCAGAAAGAGTTCCAAAATTGCTTTGAAGGGTGGACTAGACACTGGTGTCAGTGCATAGCTTCCCAAGAGGAGTACTTCAAAGGTGAATGTAGTGATATTCAGCAATGAGGTCTGTACACTTTTTCTAGGATGAGTTCGCAAATTTAATTGTCTGACCTTATATATGCACCCAGTCAGGGAGCAGCAAAATATATAAAGCAACTATCAACAGAACTAATGGCAGAAACTGAGAAAAACACAATTATAGTAGGGGACCTAAATACCCCATTAACAGCCAGCTCTGGATAGATCATCCAAACAGAAAATCAATAAGGAAATATTGGTCTTAAATGACACATTACACCTAATGAACATATTCAATATTTACAGAGCTTTTTATCCCAGAACACCAGATTATACTTTTTTTTTTCTAATGCACATGGGACATTCCCAAGCATAGACCATATGATGGGACACAAAACTAGCCTCAAAAAATTTTAAAAGATTGTAATCATACCAAGCATATTCTCCAACCACAAGGTTCTGAAATTAGAAATCAACTTAAAAAAAAAAAAGCAGGTGAAAATACAAATATGTGGAGATTAAACAAAGTGCTACTAAAGAATGATTGAATCAAAGAAGATATAAAGGAGTGATCAAAAGACAAATGAGAATGACAATATGACATATCAAAACTTTTGGGATACAACAAAAGCAGTAATAAGAGGGAAGTTTATAACATTATAGGCCTATCTCAAGAACACGTAAAATCCCAAATAAACAACCTAACACTACATCTTAAAGAACTAGAGAAAGAAGAACAGATGAAACCCAAAGTCAGCAGAATAAAGAAAATAATAAAAATTAGAGCAGAATTAAATGAACAAAAGAACAAAAATTAAGAGAACAAAAAGACAATAGAAAAAAATTAATGTGACAAAGACCTGGCTCTTTGAAAAGATTAATAAATTGACAAACCCCTGGCTAAAATCAATAAGGAAAAAAGAGAAATGACTCAAATAAACAAAATCAGAAATGAAAGAGAAGTTGCAAGGGTTACCACAGAAATACAAAGGATCATACAAGAATACTATGAAGGACTATATGCCACCAAATATGCCACCATTCAATAACATAGAGAAAACACACAAGTTCTTAGAAATATATAACCTTCCTAGATTGAATCACAAGTCAAAGGTGTTATTCAACACACAGAGGATGCCAAAAAAATGTATACACATTTTAAGAAAGGAAAAAGCTGTATTAAAATTGTAATAATATATACTGATAACAAAAGATGAATACAAGCCACATTTGACTTCTGCAATTATAACGGACACTCACAGTGTTACCATCAGCATCCAGACACTTCTGATTATGGTGAATTACTGCTTGAGCAACGTGGACCAAAGTGTCCACTTGCATACATTTTTTGGCACCCCCTGGTAATATTGGAAATCCTAGCCAGAGCAACCAGGCAAGAGAAAGAAATAAAAAGCATCCAACTTAGGAATGAAGAAGTTAAATTGTCAATTTTTGCAGATGACATGATTCTTTATATAGAAAACCCTAAAGACTCCACCAAAAACAAAACTGTTGGAAACAATAAACCAATATAGTAAAGTTGCAGGATACAAAATCAATGTACAAAAATTCATTGTGTTTCTATATACTAACAATGAAATTTTGGAAAGAGAAGTGAAAACATTTACTTTTGCAACTGCAACAAAAAGAATAAAATACCTAGGAATAAACGTATTTTTGGACATATGGGACCCGAAAATTAACTCAAAATGGATCAAAAACCTAAATACAAGACCTAAAGCAATAAATTGCATAGAAGAAAACATAGGTACTAAACTTGTGGACCTTTGGGTTCAGAGAGGAGTTTATGAATTTGACCTCAAAGGCAAGGGAAGTAAAAGCAAAAATAAATGAATGGGACTAGATCAAACTAAAAAACTTTTGCACAACAAAAGAAACTGTCAACAAAACAAAGAGGCAACCAACTGAATGGGAGAAGGTATTTGCAAACAACACCTGCAATAAAGGGTTAATATCCAAAATACATAAAAAACTCATACAACTCAACAATAAAACACCAAACAATCTAATTTTTAAAAAATGGGCAGATGACCTGAACAGACACTTCTCCCAAGACATACAACAGGCCAACAGATGTATGAAAAATGCCTAAGTTCAGTAGTTATCAAAACCACAATGAGATACTACCTTACACCTGTTAGAATGGCTATTATCAACAAGACAAGTAATAACAAGTGTTGGAGAGGTTGTAGGGGAGAAGGAACCCTCAAACACTGCTGGTGGGAGTGTAAATTGGTACAGCCACTATGGAAAACAGTATGGAAGTTCCACAAAAAAAGTAAGAATACAATTACCATATGACCCAGCAATTCCTCTTCTGGGCATCTACCCCCAAATTTAAAAACACTTATCTGTAAAGATATATGTACCCCTATATTCATTGCAGCATCCTTCATAGTGTCCAAGATGGAAACAACCAAAGTGTCCTTCGATAGATGATTGGATAAAGAAGATGTGGTACATATACACAATGGAATATTACTCAGCCATAAGAAAAGATGAAATACTGACATTTGCAACAACAGGGATGGATCTTGAGAATATCATGCTAAGTGAAGCAAGTCAGATGGAAAAAGTCAAGAACCATATGATTTCACTCATATGTAGGATATAAAATGGAAAGCAACAAATAAAAAGACAAACACAACTTATAGACACAGACAACAGTAGCATGGTTACCAAAAGGAAAGGAGGGAGGCAGGAGATATAAAAGGATCAAAGGGGATCAAACACATGGTGACAGAAGGAGATTTGACTTCGGGTAGTGAACACACAATACAATATACAAGTGATGTATTATAGAATTGTACCCTCGAGACCTATTAAATTTTTTAACCAATGTCAGCCCTGTACATTTCAGTTTTAAAAAAATTTAAAAAGACACATCCATCCAGAACTTCATAATGGGAACTCATTTGGAATATGTCTTTTTTTTTTTCAGATACAGTTAAGGTAACATCTTGAGATGAGATCATCCTAGATAACCAGGGTGGGCCCTGAATCCAATGACTGGTGGTGTCCTTATAAATGAAAAGAAATGTGGATTTGAGACAAAGAGATGCAGAGGAGAAGGCCATGTGAAGAAGACAGGGTCAGGGATTGGAACGGTGTGTCCACAAACCAAGGAATGTCAGGAGCCCCCAGAAGCTGGAAGAGGCAAACAAGCATTCTCCTGTAAGCGGTGGAGGGATAGGGGCCCTGCCATTACCTTCACTTCAGACTTCTAGCCCCTGATCTGTGAGAAAACAAAATTGCTATTTTAAGCCAGCTAGCTGATGGCTATGGCAGCCCTGGGAAACTAATAGAGCACTCTTCTCATTCTGATGCTAAGCCAGACATTTAAGGACAATGACGAAATGGACTAAACCATCAAGCATCATCCTCTAAGAAGCTATATCTTCTTTATGAGAGGGTACATTTTGTGCCGCATACTTTGAAATTGAGTCTGAACTCAACTCTCTTTTCTTTGGAAGAGACGGTTTCTGTTTGACCATTCATTTAACCTGCCTGAGGGTCTTGGTATCTGCATTAAAAGAATCTCATTGGATTCTGATATATATTACCTAGTTGGAGGGTGAAAAATATCAAAGAAAGTTTAAATGTCTTTCTGCATGTGTAGCCTTTTCTCATTGGATTGCACTTCCTTCTCAGGACGCTCCTGAGGATGATGTGGTGCTCCAAGACTGGTGCCACTCACCTGTCTGCTGACTTTAGGAAGGCCTAAAGTCAGGCCTCAAGAACCAGGCAACTTCTCCAGCTATTAGGAAGAAATAGCCTATTCCTTTTTGTACTCTTTTCTTTGAGCTGATCTTTCCTTGCTTCTTCTCACTTCCAGAATGGAAGAATTCAAGGACAAAGATTAAGGTGGGAACTAGAAGTGGGATGATACTTTGAGTTGAGGTCTATAACTATGATGGTAAAGTGAATCCTTCTGGTTACTTGGCCTATTCAGAATAAGGCTAGCTAAAGCCTTAGCTAAATAATATCTATATTGCCAATTTTATCCTTTGCATGCCATGAAATTGTGGAGCGTGTATATCCTGATATTGGTTAGTGTTCCTGATTAGTTATATATTAGTTATCCTGATATTGGTTAGTGTTCATAGGCAGTTGTTTTCATATCCTCTCCAATGAACACATTTTTCTTCCTGATTTACACAATTGGTGCTTACTGCCTTTCATCCACCCTTCCCCTATTCTTACCCTGCTCTCCTCACCACTCCACCAGCAAGATGAGTTATTAGAATCTTACCTATCAGACACAGCTTGGTACTGCTGGAAACATCAGTGTTAGGTATGGCATGTAATTTTGATGTTTGCACTTATGACAAAGTTAAACTCACAAGCAAACACCATAATCTTATTATAGAAATATGATGGTCCAGATGTTCTGAACCCATTTAGGGTATATGGAGTTGGGTACTGACCAACAGGAACGGAAAGTTCACAGCGAGGGGCAGGGCTGCTCCAAATCCCATTCCCTTTACTGTCACTTGTGCAGCGGATGGTGCTCTCCCCAATGAGATTGAAGGTCACCCCTCTGTCTGGGTGGGAGTCACACGTGTAGGTAATTTCTTTCCCATAGGGAATGTCTCCCAGAGAAGTTCCTGTGTGGTTCCCATTAAGGATAGCCGGAGGATTTGGACAAAAGATTTCTAGAAAGAGATAAGACCCATAAATTACATTAAAATGTTTACCTTTTAATCTGAGTCAATTCTACAATTATGGAATGCTGTGATTGTGTTGCCAATTTAAGAAAACTTAAACTCATGGAAAGAGTATAAGCTACAAAATAAATGTAATAGGCCTCTGCTAAGATGCAGGTAAATAAAGTTATACCTAAATCAAGGTTTATTACAAAAGTCCAAAAGGAACTTAAGCATACTGAACTCTTCAGAGAATTAAGAAATCTGGAGAATTGAAATCTTATTTCTTTAAAATAAACAAAAGTCTTCTTAAATATATTAATAAGAATCATCATCAATTGAATAAGAAAAGCATCCATTAATTCAACAAGAACCCACTGTATATCAAGTACTATTTTAAGCACAAGATCTTTTAACATCAAGGATCTTCACCCTAGAGAAATTTTTCAAAATATATTATTATATATTTACTATTTCTCTATCAGTGATTTAACACTTTATTGATGACTTGAGACTGTTATTTTCAAAAGCAAAATAATGATTACAATAATGCTGTCGCAATGAAATGAAACATCCTCCATACTCCTATGCATGCCCCAAAAGCCTCAGAAATGTCTTGACTTTTGAGATGCTTAATAGTTTTTACAGGTTTTTTTGTTCCTCATTGAAGAAACATGCATTTCTTCTTTTGAGTTTATCTGTTGGAGAAGCTCCTTTCCCCTTCTGATGTGGTCTGATTGGGGAAGAAGATACTGTAGCTTGAAAGAATTATGAATAAACTAATTACAGGATGGAATAGCTTAACCAGTGTTTATACTCTAGTAAGCAATTTTAGGTATATCTTTGGGTTCATGAGAATATTTTTTTCTTTATTTGATGCTTCTTAACTGTATTTCAGGAAAGTTAAAATTTTCAAATAGGCGACTCCCAAATATGAAAGATCTAATTATCAAGTTAAGTTATATAAATCAGTACAAGACACCCAAATAATTTTAAAGCAAAGTATTCACATGAAAAAAATTCTATTATAAACATGTATTTTTCAGTAGCTATGATCAGAAGGTGAAGAAACATCCTGTTTGATTTAGTGAAAAAATAAATGGACATATTGGTAGTGTTTCTGTATTTAACAAGCTATATTTCTGTCATCTTAAAAACAAAAATTAGCTCCCTTAATCCCATCTCCTTCTGCAGCTATAATCCCAATTCTCTACTCCCTTTACATTAAAACTCCCCTAAGATATTGCCTATGACCTGTCATCATTCCTCCCCTCATTCTCCCTTGAACTCATTCCAATCAAGCATATGCCCCAACAACTCTACTGGAACTGCTTTTGCCAAGGTCACTCATTACCTCCAAGCACTAAACTCAATGATAGTTTTCTGTACTCTTATTTGACCTCTCTGTAGAATTTGAAACAGTTGCTTGGGCTCATCTTCTTAAAAGAATGTCTGCACTTGGCTTCCAGGATAACCTCATTTTCCTGGGTTTTCTCTTTTAACACTTCTTCATCTCTTTTGCTGATTCCTTTTCAACTGTCTGAGTTCTTACTGTTGGATTTATAAGGCTTAGCTCATGCATATGTGCTGTGGCTACACTGAGTCCCTAGGTGATCTCATTTAGTACCTATTTTGTTCTCTATATCTAAACCATCAGCAAATCCTGTCATGTCTACCTTCCAAATACATCTAGAATTTGACCGCTTATCACCTCTCCCACTGTTATCCTGGGCCAACATCTCTGATTAGGTTTTGCTGTAACTCCCCAGATTGTACCTCCCAGATTTTCTTGGCTACTCCTGCCTTTTATTGCCTCAGCTGCTTTCTCAATCAAGAGTGCTGACTGATACCACTGTTACCTTATTTCCTGACAACACTAGCTGTCTCAGTCTCCCCAAGGGTGAGAGATGGGCTCCTGCACAGACTCTGCTGTTCCACTGCAGTGGAGGTCAAAGCAGCTCCCACATCCAAGCCAACACAACCGGACCCATAGCCTCTCTGGCTCCTTCTACCACACCTAGGCTGAGATGGGGTTCTATGCAGCAGGACAGTGAGATGTCCCCAGGGTCTGACCAGAGGGGATGAGTGGAAGACAGGGGCTTAACACCCTTGGCATAAATAGGAGACAGGAGACAGGAAAGATCCAACAGATAAACTTTGTTTTTCCTCTTCCTAACGGATATTTCTGGTTCTATAGAACCTCTCCTGGTGCCTTATAAGACCAAACAAACATCTCTTTCTCTTGTAAAGCTATGGCCACCTCGGTAACACAATATACATTTTATTTACTTGCAGTTCTTTCCTCTCTGCCTCTGATTTTGTTCTCCTTGACTGTTGCTGCCCTGGAACTGCACCCTTTACATACAGCGGTTCTCAACCTTTGACAGGGGTCACCTAAGACCATCGGAAAACACATGTTTTCCGATGGTCTTAGGAACCAAGACACCGCTCCTCTACCCATCTCCAGGCCCACATGCAGATATGCCCACATACGAGTACCCAGCAACCCCTGTGAAAGGGTCATTCGACCCCCAAAGGGGTTGCGACCCACAGGTTGAGAAACGCTGCTCTAATAGAACATTATAACATAAACTTTGCCTGGCACTGTTTTCTGGGGATTCTCCATCTAAGATATACCCCTTTCAACTTAGTTCTCTCTAGAGTAGCCAGGATATTATTAACAATAAGTTAGATCATGTTACTTTTCTACTCATAATACTCCAGTGGCTTTCCACCTTGCTCAGAGTGAAAACCTGAGTTCTTAAAGGATGCAGAGTTACTTCTCTTTTATCACATCCTACCACTCCTGTATTTGTTCACTCTGTACCAGCCACATAAGCTTCTGAGAACATGTCCAAACAAGCTTTTCAAAGGAAATGCCAGGAACATTTCTGCCTTAGGCCTTTGCACTTTCTGCTCTATCTGAATGGAAAGTTCTTTCTCTATGTATGCACATTGGTAGTCAACTAATTGCCATCATTGTTTAAATGATACTTTCTCAGTGAGTATTTCCTTAATCACCTTATTTTAAATGGGAACTTTATTCTTTTCCTGGCATTCCTTATCTCCTTCACACAGCTATTCTATTGCATATCTTGTTTTCTTTTTATTAATAACACTTAGTATTATTTGAAATTGCCTATTTATGTGTTTACTTGTTAGTATTTTTGTAAATCTTTCTTCCTGCACAAGAATATAAACAACATGGGAGCAGGGACCTAGTTTATCTTGTTTATAGGCATACTGCCAGTATCTAGAAGACTATTTGGAACATCATAGGTGCTAAAAAAGTATTGAAAGAATGAGTATTATGAATGAATGGATGAATTAGGAAAGGATATAAAAGCTGAAGTGTGACTATCATTTTGACAGGAAAAATATTTGACAAAGCTTCAGGGCACAATAAATTTCTGTCCATCTGTGAAGCATTTTTCCCCATTTATAGCATGTGGCATATTTTTTAATATGTATAGGATGGTACCCCAAACCCATGATGCTCAGGTTTATTTCCCCCAAAACCATTTCTTGTAACTATTCCAACAAAGAATTGTTTTTATCAAAAATGAAGATAAACTGAGGGGCAGGCATTTGATAATTTCATGGGGCAAAATGCATTAAGAAATTGAAAACAAAACAAAAAAAGAGCGGGGAGAAAGATGCAGACCTGAACTCTACTTCTACTCACGTTCACACACAGGAACACTGTTATTCCAAACGCTTTTCATTCCCACCAAGATACAGTAACTAGTAGAATTCCCCTTTAAATGAAACCTAAGGAACAAAAGTAGTAATGACTGGATGAACATACATACCCTTCATTGACAAATCTCAGCTTCTCCCCTTCTGCTAAAATACAATTTAATTCCTATTAAATCCGAGGTGGAAAAGCTTAGCTCCTTTGTTCTCTCAGCTGAGACTCAGAATTAAATATTTTGAAAGATTGCAGCTTCCAGTAAGGAACGAAGCAATAACAACTGTCAAATTTCAGTAATCAGAGAGGCCTGAACTGAAGAAGGAACAAGAAACATAGATAAGCATTCCCTTGGTGTGATCCCGGACCTTCAGGAGGAGGCCATCTTTCCCTGACGGCTTCCTGACAGCCACATCTTGTCATTAGGAGAAACTCTGTCCTCTAATGCAAAATGTAGGCTTTTCCTCTCTTAGTGGACCAGGGGAAAACAGCTCCTGATTTAGGTGGCAAATCAGAGAACATGAGGAAAGGTATCAGAGACTGTTCTTGTCGCCAATACATTTGAAATGTTTCTGAATGAGATTGATGGCATAGCTGGATTATTGAAGAGTAGAGTCAAATGAACTAGAAAAAAGGAGAGAAGGTGAGAAGAGAGAATTCTTTGGAGCACAATTATCCTAAAATATCTTGTTTATTGTCAGACCAATGGCCTCCTGATTTGCCTCCAGGTCGTCATTGAGTGATTGGTATTTAGTGCCTGTCAAGGAGTCCTTGCAATTATTGACCCCAAGAATAAATGTACCTGTTGAGAAAGGCTCCTCATGGCTAACTGGGCTCAAATTTATAAACAGAGTCTAACAGCCATTGCTAAACAGTGATTTTTCATGGAAGCCGTGCTTCAGGGAGAAGCAGGCACTGAACTGCCTGCCTCCCATACTGAACTGTCATCTGCACTGTGTTCCTGCCATCTGAGCCAATCCTTATAAAGGAGCTCCTGGAATCATATTTCAACCAATAGAACCCCATCCAACTGGAGCTGCACAGCTATATCCTCACTAGCATCTTCACTGACCAATCAGAGTAGCTCCATTCTGAACAATGAGGACAATGCTTTTTGGACCAAACAAACTCTGGGGCTTTGGAGTCCCATGTAAGTGAGGATAGACCAGTCAGGGACCAGGAGCAGGTATCTCTCTCTCTCTCTCTCTCTCTCTCTCTCTCTCTCTCTCTCTCTCTCTTTCTCTCTCTCCATATATATATATATATTTTTTAATTAAATATATATATATATAAAATAAATATTAAATATATATATTTATTTATTTATTTTTCAGCTGCCCTCTGGTTGGGTAATACTTTCCCTTTCCATCTAAGACAGCGTTTCCCTGCCTGGGGCTGTAACACTGAAGTATTGTGCTAGACTGGACCGTGGTGGAGCTGTCTAGCTGAAGATGGGCCCCAACGCTGCCTTCCCCAGGGCTGTTTCATGAACTGTAACAAGAGATCTTGTCTGTTTAGGTAGAATGCTAAATGTATAGATAAATAGCAATTTGTAGGCATGAAGAGACAATTCTTCCAGAAGGGTTGTTTAAAAGAGGGCCATTCCACAGCTGTGCTATTCTGCAGCTGTGCTGTATCACAACTGAGCTGTTTGCACTGAATTAAGTCTCCCCTTCGCTGCATCTCAAATTGGGATTCCCATTGGGATTTAATTGACACCAATGATCATCAGCTGACAGAACACATTGAGAACAACTGCTCTATGGTCCATGTTTTTTACCTGACAATAGTATTGGAACATAATACCAAGATCATTTAGATTCACATAAAGAGTTAATGTTAATTGAAACATGAGCATCAATCTTCATGCTCCTTCAACTGACCTAATACTCATTAGATGATGTATAACTAGATTAAAAATACTTCTACTTATTCTTTATTTCTATTCCAAATTCCACTATTGGTATAAAAATTTCCTGAAATAACACTTGCATGTTACTTATAAGTAACACTCTTATACGTCAAGCTTTTAAAAACAACCCTTCTGGAATATTTATCTCTTCATGCCTACAGATTATTGTTTATCCATACACTCAGTGTTCCACCTAAATAGTCAAGATCTGTTGTTATATTTCTGCTATTCAGTTTATTTTCCATTTTTTCTTTTTAAACATCTCTTCAAGGCTCCATATGGTTCTTACCATACTTCCCAATCTTTGTTTCAGATATTAGACTCTTTTATTACTTCTTTTCCATGAAGCAGACCCCCTTTTAGATAAATTCCCATTACACAGGGTGTCAGCATGTCAGCATCCAGCATTGAGTTCCTGGTCTCTATTCCAGGTCACACTCACCCCTCATCACAAACGAAGGACACTTTTGCTCCAAGCTGGAGATTAAGTGGAAAGAGCACACGGCCATTAGGGAGTTGGTCCAGGGAGTCAGCACATGATTTCACTAAGGAAAAAACAATCAGAAGTAAGACTGCCATGTGAGGAACAAAGATATACATCTGCAAACCAGACAAGAGTGTAAGCACCTGCACATCTGGGGGCTGCTGGGCTCCAGTCTCCCTGGGGTGTGCAGCGCAGGGAAGCAGCCCCTCTGAGATCATAGCCAGGCTCACAGCTGTAGAACACTTCCTGTCCAGGGGGAAAGTTGTCCTTGCCGCTTAGCGTGTGCTTACCATGCAGGATTTCTGGAGGCAGCTGACATACTGGGGGAAGAACAGGTTCAAATTCCTGTCAGTTACAAAATATCATTTGCTAAATCTTAGCCTTCCAAGGAGTGACAGACTCATAACTAAAGGGTTCAGGTCTAACAAACGAAGTCACATGATACTCCAACCTCCTCATTTTACTGATGTGGAAGTTATAAATAGAGGAGAGATATAACCAAAGGCCTCACAGCTAATATGAGATAGAGAATTAGAACACACTTCTTCCCAACACAAAGTCTAAAATATATTCTTAAGTCTACTAAGTATGGGGTCCCTTCTTCTAATGCTGGCTATTCATTATAGTGTTATTAGTATTGGTGGGCTTCTCCACCCACATATTTACTAGAAAGGAAATCCAGTTTACAATCTCATTGTTCAGGTAATGAGAAGGTTGCCTGAGCCTAAATCTATTTAACAGATTTCCCTTTGTCACTTATATTGTACTCCTATGATCAAAGTGTAGTAATAATTAACATTTATATCTCTGTCTGTTCGTCCTCCCAGCTGCTCTCTCAGTAATGGCAAAGCTGAGTGGGTTGGTGGAAAGACTTAAGCTCCCTCTCTGTCACTATATATCAATTACAACATTTACCAATCCACTCCTAAGCCAGCTATTGTGGCAGATGAATAAGAAGACAAAACAAGCCATCGAGAACAAAATCCTTTCAATAAGCCAGTCCTTGTAATGAAAGGGCATATTGCTTAGAAAGTATTTGAGTCAAAGTCTGGCTGCCTTCATTAACAGCACTTTTGATGTGTTCTCAAGGCATCAGAACTCATTTATCTCTATCTAATTAAAGATGAATGAAAAATCTGTTTGGCTTTGAACAAGTTACTCTTACTTTCAACTTTAGATTCCTAACAATAAAATACAGGAGGGGACCAGAACAGACAGACAGACTCTAAGGTGACTATTCTGCAGCTATGATGTCTGTCTACATAAGCCAGTTTCTGTGATATATTGATAGAAATATAGAAAGAACCACAGCATTCAAGCTCTGGGCTCTGACACATATGCATTCTATTCCTAGGTCTTCCATTTAGTAGCATGTGATTTGGATGAGTTATTTAACCTCTGAAAGACCAAGCTAACTTCACTGTCATATGATATAAGAATAGCACTATTCAAAGGAGGTTGGTAAACAGTAGATGAGCTAGTGCATATAAAGTGCTTATTACACAGCTGACCAGAAAGTCCATGTCATTTTTCAATCTAATTGAGAGATATTGGAGCTGGTACTTTGCCTGAGAATTCGTCAATATGAGAGTCCCAAATGTGTCCTTCCTTGATTAATTAAGCTCTTGCTTCTTAAAATGAAGGCCCATGGCACATGCACGTGCACACACACACACACACACCTTCCTCATTTCATGCTTCATCCCCCCAGATTTACTCAACTGCTCACCACGTATCTTTGCCCCAGAACACTAATCTCCTGATCCTCTTACAACTCCTGACATCTATAGGCCGCTGCAAAGCTTCAGTCCGACTCACCCTTGGAACAGCTGGGCAACTCTGGGTCCCATTTGTTCTGGGCCTGGCATTGCACACTGGATGGTCCTTTCATGACAAAGCCAGGCTGACACCTAAACCTTACAATTTCATTTAAGGAAAACAAGCTTCTGTTCTCAGGCTCCCTTATTCCATTTTCAACCACTGGAGGCATGCATTTATTAGGTATAATGCACTGAGGGGCAGGGCCGCTCCAGGTGCCACCTTGATTGTCTTTGCTGGTGCAATGTATGGATTTATTGCCTATGAGGTCAAACAATTTTTCCTTTCTCTTTCCAAGATTGCAGCGATAGGTCACCACCATTCCGTATTGAAAATATTCTCTGTTGCTGCTATAGAAATCTCCATTGATAATGGGTGGTGGTGGTCTACAATGAATACCTGGGAAAAGGAACAGCAAGTTAAACAAAACCTCAGTTTCTTAAAGTTATATTTAATTATCCAAATTACCAAATGTGAATATTCACAACACTTCTGCTCTTGCCTATTTTTTCATAATGTACAGACATGTTATTACACAACTATAGATTAGGTAACCACAATATTATAGCTTCTGCTCTTCTCAGTTAACATTATTTCAATAAATATGTCTATATATTATTACAGTCCACATGCTTCTCATTTTTTTGCATTAAAGTTTATTGGGGTGACAATGGTCAGTAAAGTTACATACGTTTCAAGTGTACAATTCTGTAATACATCATCTGATATCACATTGTGTGTTCACCACCCAGAGTCAGTTCTCCTTCCATCACCATATATTTGATCCCCTTTACCCTCATCTACCACCCCTCTTCCCCCTTACCCTCTGGTTCCACTAAACTATTGTCTGTGTCTATGAACTTTTGTTTATTTGTTTGTCTTGTTTCTTTGTTGTTTTTTAAGTTTTATATGCCACATATCAGTGAAATCATATGGTCCTTGACTTTTTCTGTCTGACTTATTTCGCTTAGCATCATAATCTCAAGATCCATCCATGTTGTCGCGAATGGCACTATTTCATCTTTTCTTATGGCACATGCTTCTCATTTTAAGTGAGATCTTATATGTTATTTCACTACTGTTAATTCAGTTCTCTCTATATAGAAGACATTTGGCTTTATTCTGTTGTTTAATAATATGATATAGCATACAGTATAGCCTCTTTATCAAATGTATAAAGACAAAAAGCTCTGGCACAACTAATAAAAAAGTAATAAAACACAAATACACAATACTACACATGACAAACACAACAGTCACAGATTCAGAAGTAATAATACTGAATGTGTTCTACTTTATGATAATAATTTCGGCAATGTGGACATTAGAGATATAGATATATTTTGCCAATATTGACTCAGGAAAAGGTAGAATATAGAAGTGGAAAAAATGTATCACAAACACTTCCAAAAGATGGAAAGCACAGATAATTTTATAGAGAAATTTAATCTTGTATCCTAGTAACAGATAACTCCTAGGTATTTTAAAGCACCTGGAACAGAAAAAAAATATTTCTACCATTTTTGGCACCATGCCTTAAAAGAGGCACACATTTATGTATTTATTTATTATTACTTTTAAGAAAATATTTAAGATGTGCTTTCTTGTAGAAAATTCATAAAATATAAGTAAAAATTATCTTTAAGTCCTTTATCTAGAAAGAATCACTTTTAACTGTTTAATGTGTAATCTTTAACACAAACACACACACACACACACACCCCATATTTTTTCTAAAATATCTTTATTGGCTTAATAATATTCAGTGTAGGAATGTACTATCTGATTCCACTTGAAAGAGATATCTCTCTTGGCTAATGTATTCTGTCATATTTAAATTTTTTCTTTTTTTTTTGCAGAACACATGCCTTCTTCCTTTCAGTCCATATGCTTCCCGTTTTAAGTGAGATCTTATATGTTATTTCAGTACTGTTAATTCAGTTCTGAATTATTTCTGAAACATTGGACTATGCTCAATATTTAGCTTGTTTTGACTTTTAACTATCACAAATAGTAATGTAGGTAAATATTTCTATAGAAACATCCTTGCAAAAAACATGGTGATTAAAAAAAAATCATAAAATGTTTAATTCCCTAATTAAAGGCATGTATATAGTGTTAAGGTTTTGTTACTTATTGTATACTGGCCTTTTAGAAAGTTTGTTCCCACTTATCCTACCAGCAGTTGGGTTTGAGAGTATTGATTTCTTTACATTATCACCAAACCAGGGGTATATTCTCTTTATATTCTTTGTTAATTTGCAATTGCTCATTCCTCTATGTGACCTAAAGTGTAGGAAGCTCATATTCCAACAAATCATAGGAAGACAGCGTATCACTGTTTCGACAAAGAATAAGAGGAAAGGAGAGCACCACCGTTCCAATACACAACCTGATGTTAAGAGCTGGCAGAGAGGGGCAGGGCTACTTTCATTAAGTTTGTATTTCTTTACTTCACTGAAGAGAATGGTCTTCAAACTGGGAAGTGTTCAACCAACAAAACAGGAAGTTGGGGGCTGTTTTAAACAAGTTCAAGACTATTGTTTAAATAACTTATAGAAAAAACCAGAAGGAACTAGGAGCTTGGAACATTGTGAGCAATTTTTAGGATATGACTGTTTTCTTCAAATATTGGAAGGACACCATTGCCAAGAGGGATGAGACTAATTCTGTGTAATTCAGCGGGGGTGGGGGGTNTAGAGGAGAGGTAGTGGGGTGGGGGGAGGGCAATGCTAGGATGAACTGGTAGGATAAATAGGGAAAAAGATTTCAACCCACGTTCACAAAGTGGTGGCTCCGTCTCCCAAATGGCAGTAGTGCCTGAGATGATACATTTAGCAGATGAATCACCAATGAGTTGATACCTAAAGGCAAAAAGTGAAAATTAATTATGCTGTCTCCCATCAACTTCCTCAGAGCATGCATACATGGCAAAACTGACAAGAGTACAAAATCTGGGAGACATCTAAGGACTAGCCTAAACTTTACCTATTTTATCCAGGTTTTCTTATGTCTCTTTTCCTATCCTTTCACTATTGAAAGGGCTATTCCCTTTGTAATTCCTCATGGCACTCTCAGCTTAATTTTTTACTTCATTGATAATTGTACTGTGTCCCAATATAAAACAATCCTTTTGTTAGACCTGTTTGATGATTTCCTTCTTAAATTCTTTTTTTCCCCTCAGATTATCATTGCCATTTTTTAAAATTTGCATTTTCCTGATATACACATATAATTAACACAGTTATGTCCTTGTAGTTTAGGCATGTTTCTTGTAACTACCGTAAGATTTGATGCTTTTGATCCCATTTTAGAAGTCTTTGTCTTTCGACAAGAAGATGTAACCATTCAAATTTACTGAACTAATTGGTATGTTTGACCTTGCTTTGTCATCATTATTTGGATTACCTTTTTCATAATGTCCAATGATGAGGATGTAGCAATGAATAAGAGATCTGTCCCTAAAATGAGGGGCTTATTTCTGGCAGAAGAGACAGATACATTCCTTGCTATTCCTTTTTCCTCCTTCTCATTTTTTATATGAACCAGATAGGTGAACCTCTTTTAGGTGTTCTAACAATTTGGAAGTCAAATATCCAGTTTCTTTTTTATTACAGATTTCATTTCATGTGTGTATATTGTACATATACACAACATATATATTTAAACCTGTTTTCTCAATTTTAGTATCAAAATATGTAGAGTCTACCCTATGTACTATAAGTCTAGCCTATCTTTTCCTGCTTTTTCCCATTTTCTAGTTTTATGGATATATTTCATGACTTTAGAAGTTGTTATTAAATTATGATTACATTGCAGTTTCACTTTTGAGCAATTAGCTCTTGTATTTAGTTTCACAACTTTGTTGAAAATATTTGACCATGATTTTCTTTAAAAATTGTTTTTTTGTTTTGTTTTTACCAGTTTTCCACATCACTGATAATCCTTTTGTACTTTGTCATTTTCCCTTTTAAAGAAATTATTTATGGATTGCCTGGATTTATTATTTTTCTCTTCCTAGAATGTGTATTTAATTGGTGTAATTTTGGGGTCCTGCTTTTCCTTTACAGTATATTTGGAGACTCTAGATGTGAATACTAGCTTGGCTCAGTAGAAACACTATCTTCTGCAATTTAGTGATCTGAAGGATCAATATGATGTCAGTATACATCAATTTCTCTTACAGGTATTATAGTTTAGTAATTTTCCTTTCTGCATTCTTGAACTTTTTTTTTTCTGTATCCCTGAAATACAGAAGATTTCCTAGTGATGACTAGGTATACGCATATTGTTTTCCCTTTTTGAATTTCCATTACATGCATTTTGAATCCTAGTACTGTGTTACACATACCTTCCCTTTTCTCTTTTTCTTTATCCATTTCCACTAAATTCCGGCGGAATTTGATTAATTTTTCTTCTTACTCTCTGCTTTAATTTTCTATAGCATTCAATGTATTTACCACAGATTTTTTTTTGTTTTAGTTTGACAATTGTGCTTTTCAAACATGTGCAAACATTTCAGATTTCCTAACTAGTTGTACAGAAGCAGTGTGCAACTAAATCTTGTTAAAAATATATAAACAGAATATGTTTGTAAGCATTTTCTCTACACTTTGATAGTAACTCTGGTTTGTAAGAGGAAATTCTTTCTGATTTTTCAGATTGGTGTCTTTTACATCACATCCTGTAACTTATCATAAGCTCAGTGATTTTCTGTTTTATACCATAGACAGGTTCATCCTTATTGAGTAATGCAAGATGAAAGGTATAGTCAGAGAATTTATAGATTGTACTCAAAAATGCTCAGAGACAGAGAGAAATATCTAGATTTACTCTAATTTTAGTTTGTCAGGTTATAGGTACCCTGGTCTGTTAGGTGACAAATATACTGGAGACCACAAGTGGCTTTTCGGTGCTTATCATGTATTATCACGGCAGCACGAATTTAGCCAGATTCTCTAACAGGCTCAGCTGCTCACACTGAGAGTGCAGTCAAGACTCCACTGTGTGCTGAGCTGGTGTAAGCACCAAGGGCAGGACCGCTGCCCAGTAAACACTTTATGCCTGACATTTTCACATGGGGCTTTGTTATGGGTCCAATAGCGTTCCTCAAAAAGGTACGCTGAAGTGTTAACTCCCAAGCCCTATGAATGTGACCTTAATTGGAAATAGGGTCTTTGCAGATGTAATCAAGTCATGGTGAGGTCATTAGGGTGGGCTCTAATTCAATATGATCGACATCCTTATAAAAAGAGAGAACTTTGAACATAGACTGATACAGAGAGGAGAAATGCCATGTGAAGACACAGACACAGGAGACAGAGGCCGAGGTTGGAGTGATGCTGCCACATGCCATGGAAGGCCTGAGGCTACCAGGAGCTGGAAGAGGCGAGGAGGGATCCTCTCTCAGGGGCTTTGGAAGGAGGATGTCTTACTGACACTTTAATTTTGGACTTCCAGCCTCCAGAACTGTGAGAGAATACATTTCTATTGCTGCTCTAAGCCACCCAGTTTGTTGAACTTTGTTATGACAGCCCTAGCAAACTAATAGTGCAATTACTTTTAAGATTTGTTTTCTCACACAGTCTCTCCGTGGCCTTACCTGTCTTCCAGCAATGTCTGCTCTGAGTTAGGGCTGTTTTTATGGTTTGACTGTACCTTCCCCTCATTTTCTTCCTTTTTACCTGGTGAGTACCTTACTTTTCCTGTATGCACTGCCCTGGTTTCCAGCAAGATTACAGGTTCTCCCCTGAATCTTAGCATACCTTTGTTCATTTCAATCAGGAGTTGAACTCCTATATTCAGGCTTTTTAAGAGCAGGTGGTAATATCCTAGTTCTCCTTTCTGAGATGTGACTAGAAGGTAGTATTGCTATCACATAAATATTGAACCAAGGGATGTTGCTTCCAACTCACCCTATATTACAAGAATACTTAATTCTGGATCCAAACTGGGTGTCTGTGTCTATGTGCACCACACCGTTCACAGGATCTGGGGGAGTTTTACATACTTTACCTGTTGGAAAGAAACAGAATTTTGAAGCCAAGTAGAGTATTCGGACTTTTTTTAGTACATACGGTCCCAACCTGACTGTAGCTTACTGGAGTATATGCAACTGAGATGGTTCCACAGATTTGTGCCACCGGAGTACCCTCACCTGATTGCTCCAAGATCTGGTACCTACTAAGGGCCACTTTCAAAAAGACCTCCCATCTAGACCTGTCTTATCTCCACCTCATATCTCTCATCAAAATATAAAGGTTACATATAGACTTGTATTCTACCAGTATAAAATTCTTCCCACCTGGTTATTCAAACAGTTCATGTCTCCTTATAATTTTTTTCCTGGTCTGGATTCATTCATTATTTAGTTTCTCATAGGGAATGGGTTCTCTTGCAAATATTTCTTGAAACATTCTCATGAAATAAATATTTCAACCAATACTTAGGGATGACCTACAAGACCAACTTTTATATCTGCCTATATGAACACTTGATAAGCAAAATTTTTTTATCTCCAAAAATAAAAAATAAAAAATCATATCCTAAGGATGAGTTGACAGACATGGGAAAGCTCCAATGCAGGGGTTACTCACGTTTGCAGACGTTGTTGACACTTGACCACATCATAGTTTTTAGGCACTTGATATAGAATGACTTCCAGTAGTACTCAGGGTGGCATTCATACCTTAAAGATGTCCCAATGGGAAACACAGATTCATCGGTTTGGTTTTTCAATTTAGCAAATTGAAAATTATCTGGGGTGTTACAGTAACCTAGAAAACAAGATATCAAGAACATCAGATTTAACAAAGAGATGCCCAAGGCTCTTCTTCTTCCTCTCTCTCTTACTAGATTTAATGTCAGAACAAAATACATTTTTGGCTCTGAAAAGATAATTTCCTTGTAACCTTGGGAAGGAAAGTTCCATTAGCACATCCCCATTAGAAAATACACTATCTGTATACACTAAAGGTATTCTGCCATCTGTCATTTTACTCAGATAATTTACAGTAAAGGACAGCTTCAATTCAATTTTTCACATTTTCAGGGAGCCAGAAACAGTGCTCTTGTCCAGGTTCCACCATTCCCGTCTGGTTTTTTTGTACGTCAGCACATCGAAACTCCAGTGAAGGACTCACAAGCATGAATGAAGAACTCAGTATAATTTTTAGCATGAGGAAGCAGCCACCAATTTTGTAGGTCTGATTCCCAAGCCACCCATTTCAACACAGGAGAAACAAATAGCATCTCTTTAAAGTAAAAACAAACAAACAAAACTATGGTTATTGTTATAAGAAAACATTGTTTGGAGTGTATGTTGAATCAAATTTTAGCTTTAGCTCCATGCTTCTATGGCCTATTAGCTCTAGGCTCAAGGATTAAAACCTCACTTTGGATTCAAATATCATGAACTCAAAAAAGTACATGTGCTTAGAAAAACAGAAATCATTTCCACTTGTTTTTGACAATAACTTCTCTTTTAACTTTTCTTTCAACTGTCCTCTACCTCCTTTCCAATTATTTATTCAATAGTCATGGTTATGCTAGAGTCAACCTTGCACCCAAAGAATCCTCTGCATGAAGATTTGCAAATCAATTTCTGATCTCTTGAACATAATTAAATAATTTTTCTCAAAATAAAAATTTGGCTTATTTTCAATGCTTTTCATGGGAAATTTATCCATCTATATTGTCTATTTACTTTTTATTTTAGAGCTTAACTATTAGCTGTTCTAGTTTCTAGGTCCAGGAGCTCCCAGTTATGTCTAAAATTTACCATCTAAGGCCAAATCACACATGAATGGCATGGCAAGTCTCCAGTCTAAAATGTAGCTGATAAAACTAGGGTTATGTAATGGTGAGCGGGGAGGAGGGGCACAGGAGCACACACTAGGGGAACTAATTGATTTATTTAGCAATATTTAATCAATTTATTTTACAACATCCAATCAATTTAGGGAGCAATATCCAATCAGTTGGGTTAGCAGCATACAATAGCAAGAGACAAAGACAATCAAGACAATAAAAAAAGGGCAATTACAAAAGGTGAAGACAGTTAAAACTAGGCTATGAAATCAATTTGACTAAATACACAAATGAAATCAATAAGGAACATCCAAATACAGTAGTAAATTCTATTAGATGTTAACTGATTACAGCGTATGCCAAAAGCTCACCAAAATCGTGAGGCAACAACACTGGAGAGGTTGGGAAGCAGCCAGACCTCACCAGATCCACGGCTGAAAGTCAGAGCATCTCCTGAGGCTGCAAGCTGCGTACAAGTTCCCAGTGCGCATGCCAGAACTATGACAAATGATCAATGAGGAACACCAAATGAACAACTGCAAGCTGAGGTCTGCCTCATATATATATTCCTTTGATGTGCTTCAGAGCCAAGTTTCTCGTTCCTGCCTCCCCGTTTCTGTCTCCCCATTTCTGACTCCCTGATCCTGCCCCCCCCCTCAGGGAATGGCCAGTTAGGAGGGGGTTCAGCAGTCCCTGTGATAAAATATTGCTTATCCGGCTGAAGGGCCAGTTCATCCAGACAAACACCACCTGCTGTTCTCACCCGGGACTAGCGGCTCAAGGCCTTCCAAAACTTGGCAACGTGGCTGTTATGTCATCCTGATACAACTTAGTTACTTCACCTCATCTGCTGATGCGGGCAAAACAGACAGAAAGCAACACCATCACATATCTCTCCTGCCGGGAACGAGACAAGGGAGAAATTCACTTAACCCTAAGCTAACCAGCACCTCAAATGCAGTCTCTCTCACATGACGGAAACCCACATGCATCTCTCATGTGAGGAAACAAAACGCTGACAGACAAAAGCTAACCATCACCTCATATGCAGTCTTTTATGCCAGGAAACAAAAAACCAACCAAGAGTTAAACAGAAAGCCAACCTCACGCGAGGGAACCATCTCACAGGCAGTCTTTCATGTGAGGAAACCAAAAAGCTAACCATCACCTCTTATGGGGGAGGCTAGCATCACCCCACAATAGGGAAATAGGTGGAAAAGAAAAAAAGTAACATAAGCCAATAAAGGCAAAATTTTTTTAACATCTTCCCTACAGGTTACTATTTCAGATAGGGTTCTGATGAAAAAAAAAATCACAGAATTTAAGGGAATACTGCCTCTCACTATTGATTCAGTAAATCTGGACTAGGTCTCTACATTGGTAAACAGGTTCATAGGTGCATCCCAAGTTGAAGCCATGGTTTTGGAGGAGGAGAGTGGGGGCCAAAATGACTTCTGATTGACTAGCACTTGGTCTTTTTTTTTTTTAGAATTGTTCTTTTCCAGAGTTTCCCAGTGGTTAGCATATTATGTCAGAACTAAGGTCCCTTCTACAATCTATTTTCTCTTTCCCATGTTTACTTCTTGACCGTGGGTGTCTTAGGGGAGTTGGATGTCTTAAGAAAACTTCTCCAGGGCCGGCCAAGTGGCTCAGTTGTTAGGAGTGTAAGCTCTGAGCAACAGGGTTGCCTGTTCGATTCCCACATGGGCCAGTGAGCTGCACCCGAGCTGAGCTGCCACTGAGCTGCCAACAGGTGGCAGAATGGCTCAGCTGGTGAGAGCATGTGCTCCTAACAACAGGGTTGCTGGTTCAACTCCTGCATGGGATGGTGGGCTACACCCACCCGCAACTAAGATTGAACATGGCACCGTGAGCTGAGCTGCCCTGAGCTGCTAACGGGCGGCCGGATGGCGACTGGACTTGGAGCTGAGCTAGCTGCACCCTCCACAACTAAGACTGAAGGAAAACAACTTGGCTGTTTCCCTTCCCAAATTCCTCCCTCCACCCCACCCCTCAAAGAAAACTTTTCCAGATCTTTGGACTACACACTCTCTTTATTTTGCATTTTCCCTTGAGTTCATATTCTTTTGCTTTTTCTTTCTACCAAAGTGGAAAGACTTCAACAGCTAAAATTAGTGTGGGCTAAGGAGAAAGTAAGCCTTATTTTAGTTTAGAACTTAGCTGCCCAAATTAGCCAAAGGAATCTTTGTGATTTATCTACAATGCAGCCCAACTTTCATAGAGAATGCACAGGGGTCTCAGGCCAAATAGGTAATTAAAAGTGATTTTGCCTGACTTTGTTCCCTGCTGGCCTGTGCTTCCCTCCAAAACCTGTGAAGATGGTATAGCTTATGTAAGTTAAGGTTCTTCGGTATTTGCTTTCAACTCCTACGGTTTGAAATTGTTTTCCTTCCAATTCTAGTGAGAAATAGAACCACCATTCACCATCTCTCTTGCTTTTCACCAGCCCTCTACCAGCAAAAGTCATCAGAATCTTATTACTGATTTGGCAATTAATTGTGTCAAGTTCACAAATAAACATGAAACTAATTGCAAAAATTTAGAAGATCTGGTTTAGATAATCTGAAGCCATTTGGGATGTAGGGTAGTATGTACTAACCTGGAAGTCCACAGCGAGGGGCAGGGCTGCTCCAAATCCCATTCCCTTGACTGTCACTTGTGCAGCGGATGGTGCTCTCCCCAAAGAGTTTGAAGGTCATCCCTCTGTATGGGTGGGGGTCACATGTGTAAGTCACTTCTTCTCCATAAGGAAAGACTTCCAGAGGTTTTCCTGTGTGTCTTCCATTACGGATATCTGGAGGATTTGGGCACAAGATTTCTGGAAAGAAGGCAAGATCTCTCAGTTTCATTGAGGAGTTTTCACCACAGGTATTCTACAGTCATTCGGTGCTATGGTTGGTGCTACCTAAAAAACAGTTATGACATACGCCTTTGCTAAAATGGACTACGTGAAATGCAATCTCAATTTCTTTTTTTATCGAAAAAGTACAAAAGAAATTGGTTTATCTTGAATCTTCCAGACAGTTAAGTTTTCTGGGTAATAGAAACTTAACACCTATAATTAAGTACCAAAAATTGCCTTAGGTAGTACTAACATTTTAACTATATTAATTCTTCCTATCCACAAGCATGGTAGATGTTTCCATTTATTTGTATCTTCTTTTATTTCTTTCTTCAGTGTCTTATAATTTTCTGAGTACAGGTCTTTTATTTCTTTGGTTAAATTTATTCCTAAGTATTTTATAGTTCTTGAAGCAACTGTAAATGGGACTGTTTTCTTAATTTCTCCTTCTGATAGTTTGTTATTGGTGTATACAAATGCAACAGATTTCTGAATATTGATTTTGTATCCTGCTACCTTACTGCATTTGCTTATCAGTTCCAATAGCTTTTGGGTGAAATCTTTGGGGTTCTCTATGTATAGTATCATGTCATCAGCATATAATGACAATTTTATCTACTCCTTACCAATTTGGATGCCTTTTATTTCATTTTCTTGTCTGATTGCTGTGGCTAGAACTTCCAGAACTATGTTGAGTAACAGTGGAGAAAGTGGACAGCCTTGTCTTGTTCGTGATCTGAAGGGGAATGGTTTTAGCTATTACTCATTGAGTATGATGTTAGCTGTGGGTTTATCATACATATATGGCCTTTATTATGTTGAGATATGATCCCTCTATTCACACATTGCTAAGAGTTTTTATCATAAATGGCTGCTGGATTTTGTCAAATGCTTTTTCTGCAACTGTTGATATGACCATATGATTTTTATTTTTCATTTTGTTGATGTGGTGTATCTCATTAATTGATTTGCGGTTATTCAACCAACCTTGTGTACTAGGGATGAACACCACTTGATCATAATGTATGATCTTCTTAATATATTGCTGAATTCTGTTTGCTAATATTTTGTTGAGGATTTTTACATCTATGTTCATCAGGGATATTGGCCTGAAGTTTTCTTTTTCTGTAATGTCTTTGTCTGATTTGGGGATCAGGGTGATAGTGGCTCATAGAAAGAATTTGGAAGCCTTCCCTCCTTCTGGATTTTTTAGAATAGTTTGAGTAGAATAGGTGATAATTCTTTTTTGAATGTTTGGTAAAATTCACTTGTGAAGCCATGTGGTCCAGGGCTTTTGTTTGGTGGGAGCTTGTTGATTACTGATTCAATTTCCTTGGTGGTAATCAGTCTATTCAGAATTTCCGTTTTTTCTTGAGTTAGCTTTGGAAGGTTGTATGCTTCCAGAAATTATAATTTCTTCCAGATTGTCAAATTTGTTGGCATATTATTGCTCATAGTATTTTCTTAAAATTTTTTGTATTTCTGTGGTGTCTGTTGTCACTCCTCCTCTTTCATTCCTGATTTTACTAATTTGAGTCTTCTCTCTCTCTCTCTCTCTTTTTTTTTGATGAGTCTGGCTAGAGTTTTGTCAGTTTTGTTATCGTCTCAAAAAACCAGCTCTTGGTTTCATTGATCTTTTATATTGTTTCTCTGGTTTCTATTTCATTTATTTCTGCTCTGGTCTTTATTATCTCCTCCCTTGTAATCCCTTTGGGCTTATTTTGCTGTTCTTTTTCCAGATCCCTGAGGTGTAAGGATAACCTGTTGATTTGAGATTTTTCTTGCTTCTTTAGGTAGGCCTGCACTGCTATGAACTTCCCTCTTAGGACTGCTTTCACTGTATCCCAAAGATTTGGGGTCATTGTGTTTTCATTTTCGTTTGTCTCGAGGTATCTTTTGACTTCTTCCTTTATCTCATTTTTGACCCACTTACTGTTTAGTAACATGCTATTCAGCCTCCATGAATTTGTATGTTTTGCAGTTTTTTTCTTGTAATTGCTTTCTAATTTCATAGCACTGTGGTCAGAGAAGATGCTTGATATGATTTCAATTTTCTTAAATTTATTGAGAATTGATTTGTGTCTTAACATGTAGTTTTTCTTGGAAAATGTTCCATGTGCACATGAGAAGAATGTATATTCTGTAGCTTTGGGGTGAAATGCTCTGAAAATATCGATTAAATCCAACTGGTCTAATGTGTTATTTAAGGCTGCTATTTCCATATTGATTTTCTGTCTGGAGGATCTGTCCCTTGTTGTCAGTGGTGTGTTGAAGTCCCCTACTATGATAGTGTTACTGTTGATCTCTGTCTTTATGTCTGTCAATTTCTGTTTTATATATTTAGCAGCTCCTGTGTTAGGTGCATAGATGTTTACTAGGGTTATGTCCTCTTGTTGGATTGATCCCTTTATTATTATGTAGTGTCTTTCTTTGTCTTTTGCTATATGCTTCAATTATTTAAATTCTATTTTGTCTGATATAAGTATTGCTACTCTAGCTTTTTTCTCACTTCCATTTGCATGAAATATTTTACTCCATCCCTTTACTTTCAACCTGTATGTGTCTTTTGATCTGAGGTGAGTCTCTTACATATACAGCATATGTAAGGGGCTTGTTTTCTTATCCATTCAGTCACCCTATGTCTTTTGATTGGAGCATTTCATCCATTTACATTTAACGTGATTATTGATAGGTGCATCATTATTGCCATATTGTTATTTCTGTTTTCTCTTTCTTCTGCTTAAAGAAGCCCTTCTAACATTTCCTGCAATGTTGGCTTGATGGTAATGAATTCCTTTAGCTTATTCTTTTCTGGGAAGCTCTTTATCTGTCCTTCAATTTTAAATGATAGCCTTGCTGGATAAAGCAATCTAGGTTGTAGGCCTTTGGTTTTCGTCACTTTGAATACCTCCTGCCACTCCCTTCTGGCCTGCAAGGTTTCTGTAGAAAAGTCAGCTGATATTCTTATGGGGGTGCCCTTGTAAGTAACTTGCTGCCTGTCTCTTGCTGCTTTTAGAATTCTGTCTTTGTCTTTAACCCTTGCCATTTTCACTATAATGTGTTTTGATGTGGGCCTGTTTGGGTTCATCTTGGTTGAAACTCTCTGCACTTCCTGGGCTTGTATGTCAATTTCCTTTGTCAGGTTAGGAAAGTTTTTAGTCATTATTACTTCAAATATGTTCTTGATCCCTTGTTCCCTCTCTTCTCCTGGTATTCCTATGATGTGCATGTTGTTGCGCTTGATGCTATCGTCCTGCTCTGTAAAACTATTTTCAATGTTTTTTATTCTTTTTGTTGTTGTTGTTCTGCTTGGGGGATTTCTGCTATCTTCCCTTCTAAGTAGCTGATTCGATCCTCTGCTTCATTCAATCTGCAGGTAATTCCTTCGAGTGTGTTCTTTATCTCAGTAATTGTATTCTTTAGTTCTGACTGGTTGTTTTTCATCATTTCTCTATCCTTCTTTATATTCTCAGTAATTTCCTTGAACATTCTAATCATCAGTGTTCTGAACTCTGCCTCTGGTAGGTGGTTGTCTTTATTTCCTCTAGTTCCACTGACACCAGAGGCTTCTTCTGTTCTTTTATTTGGGATGTGTTTCTTTATTTTCTCATTCTGGCTTACTCTTTGTGCTTGCTTCGATGTATTAGGGAGATCCACTAGGTCTCTCAATCTTTGCTGGGTGGACTTATCTGGTGTGTGTCCTTTATATTTGAATTGATCAGTCTCCCTATTCTCCTGTGCATGTGTTCCAGAGGCGTTCCTTGTGTTGTGTGTCTTCTCCTGTTGAAGTTGAGCTTTGATTGCTTTTGGCTTGTCAGTAGGTGGGATTGACTCCCAGGCTGACTAGCTGTGAGGATTGACTATGTCCACAGTGTATGAGCTGCTGTGTGAGGGTTGACCCCTCAGATGGGGCTTGGCCCCTATGGGCTCCTGTGCCTACAGAGAGTTCCCTTTGTGTATGACTCTTGTAGGTCAAACCCGGTAATGCCCTGGTTTGTTCCAGAGTTGGCCTCTGGGTGTGATGATTCTTGTGCTTTTTTGGCTGGGCCCTGCTGCAGAGCGCCTTCAGAATAAAATGGATCAACAAGCACAGCAACAACAGCCAACAAAAGAAACCAGATACTCTCACATGTGAAAACATCCAACAACCCACACTCAACATGCACAGAAGTATCAAAAATACAAAAAACAAAAGGAACACGACAAACAAAATAGCAACACCAAAAGAAAAAAAAATTGCAGAAAAATAGAAAGAAGAAGAAAAAGTAGAGCAGGGAAAAGAAAAAAGAAAAGAAGGGAGAGGGGGAGAGAAAAAAATATATACATATATATGGACATATATATATATACATATACATATATATGTATATAAAAAACTAAAATAATAATAAAATAGAAAAACAAAAACAACCAAATTAAAAAAAAAAGAAAAAAAACCTAAAAAGCAAAAAATAACCAAAAAAACAGTGCCAGTCTTGGCTAAACTCTACCAAGCTGTCTCCAGGTTGTCCTGTGCTGTACAAAATCTCCTCTGCGTCATGTGGAGGCAGAGCCGGCCGTCGGATGCCCTGAGTGACCCTGGCGATGCAGTTCTAGATGAGTGGGGCTACGGGGTGTGGTCGGTAGTTTTTAGAAGTCAGAGCCATATCTGCTCTCCCCCGCCCAGATGCATGCGCTGAGAGCACTGCAGCCAGAAGACTCCTGGGTCTTGGGGCACTCTTTCCAATGGGGGCCTGAAGGGTGTGAGCTTTCTGAGCTGCTAAAAGACCAGCTCTGCCTCTGATGTGTCCTGCTGTGACTCAGCAGCTGAAGTTGCCCTGCTGGGAGCAAAGGTGGGGGCAGGGTAGGCAGTCCCACACTCCTTGCAGCTTCTTCCCTAGCTGAGCTTTTCTAGTTTTGGGGAGTAGGAGCACCTCTGTAATCTGACCCTATTCCCCTATTCAGGGACCAGTTTAAGGACTCTGGAAAGGCGGGGGTAGCATTGGGGGTCAGATCCTGGTTATGGAGTTGCTTTTTGCTTTCTAAGAGGGCCCAGCCACAGTTTGTAGCTGAGGTTTCTGCCTCAGATGCTGGACACCGCCGTACTCTCTGCTGAACTCTAGGCAGGACTAATGGGGTGTAGGGAGAGAGCCCGTCGCCTTGCTGCTGTAATTGTCTCCGATCTGCTTGCTGGGGCCCCGCGTCTCCACAGCCGCGGATGCGGGCTGCATCTCTGCCCGCTTCCTTTCCCTCTTCCCCGACTCGCCCAGTTTGCCCACCTTCAGGTAATCATGGTGCGAGTCTCTTAGCTGTTCTGTGTGATGAGCAGAGGTTCCTCTGATGAGTTATAGCTGTTCAATTTGTGGTAATTTCCAGGGGAGAACTCAGGGAGCCCACCTCTCTGCGCCATTTCGATGATGTCTCCCCCAAAATTTTAAGGAAGGAAAATAACCATTTGGAGGGTAACACATTCATTTACTCCATAAATATTCATGGAACACTTATTTTGTGTCAGCCACTCTCATCAGGGACTGAGGAAATAGTGGTGAAGAGCACAGATAAAGTCACTGTCTTCCAAGCAGCTTATATTCTCTGGAAATTTTTCTACAATATATTCCATGTGTACTAATGGCCTTAAAGACATGAAACCTTGTTGATACTGGCCATCAATCTCAATTATGACAACAGTGCTAACACAATGTATTGAAACACCTATGGTCATTGTAAAAACGCTAATGATTCAGACTGCTTTGTTTTTAAAAATGTATGGGTCTGTTTATAATTATTTTTCTCCTTTCTGTCAGGTTTCAAATTGTTACTTCTTTCTAGTATCTGCCTGTCTGTTTAAAACACTCTCCTCCTCACTTCTAATTAGCATTTCTAACTAGGATTGGGGTTAGGAAAAAGCTACATCACCTAGTAAGAGTCATAAAAAAATAAGATTGATAGTCCAACCCATAACTGAGCTCTAATGCATGCCAGTAGGACAACCACTTGTCATGTTACATCAAGGAACAATGGTTATCTTGAATAGCAGGCATCTATATATAAGTTATGTTCTCATAAGTTTTACTATGAAAAGCATATTATGATGTCTGAGTAGATTTCTAGTAACATAAACATTATAGTAAAATTTGATTGTTTAAAAAATATGTATTTTCCAATCTTTAGGATCAAAAGATGAAACAAAGTCCACTCTTCCATTGAGGAAAATATAAAAGGGTAGACTAGGAGAAATCAGCAGTGATACTGCACAGAGGAGACTCATTTTTTAATCAGCTTGTTTTTCCTGAATCTTAAAATTTATTTAGGTACATACTTTGAGAATTTAAGGAGTCTTAAACTGTTTACCCTTTGTAATGCTGTTCCCCACTTTCCCCTCATTCCTTCATTGCTCTGATCTATCATTTCCATAACATTTATTTGTTTATTTTTTTTCCTGACCATCTCCCCACTTGAGTATAGGTAACATGGGGACAGGGAGTTAACTTACTTGTTCACTGCTGTAATACCAGTGCTTGGAAGAACGTCAAGCACACAGTATGTATTTAGTAAATAATTGATTGAATGAATGTTTCACATTTATATAGTAGCAAATAGATAGAAAAATTATAGAGATTGCACTTGGATGGTAGGGAAAAAAAAGAAAAAGAAAGGAGGAAGGGAGTGAGGGAGGAGGGAAAGGAGGAATAAAGCTTTACATTATGTAATCTCTCCTAACCTAGAGGCAAACTACTTCAGGATTTATCACATAGAACGGAATTCAAGATGACAGAGACTGAGCAAATGGTTCTCAAAACACATGGTGCACAGTAAAATGCATCACAACAAATTGATTACAAGGAAATACCATTTTAGCAATTATCTCTCAATAATTCAGATTAGAACACAGAAGAACCACAACAGGGGAGGTCACAGGTCAAAATACTCAACAGATTAAGGGGGAGAGAATTGTTATTCTTTCTACGCACGTTCACAGGAAGGAACACTGCTATTCCAGAGGCTTTCCATCCCAACCAAGATACAATGACTGGCAGAACTTCCGTTTAGTTGGAATCTAAAAAAGAAAACGGTAGTGAATAAGTGAGCTTGTTTCGGCAAAAATGCCATTAGTTTGCAATTTTAGACCCTGCCAAAAATCTCAGTATTTTAAGGATTGGAAACAAACAGGTGGCAGAGGTTCAGAGGCCATGTCAATCTGGACAAATCACAGCCTCCATTAAGGGAGAAGCGTAAAGCACAGTAACTTGGTCACATAATATGCCGTCCCAGCCTGAAGTGAAGAAAGTAGTCGTGGCTGCCATCTCCTAGATCCTGGACCCAGACTCAGAGAAGTGACTCTCTAGCTGATCATCCCATGATAAACCTGATAAATCTACTCATTGTCATTATGGGAAACCCAGTCTTCTAATGCAACATTCTCCTAAGGCCGACAGTGGAACAGCAAGTAAAGCAGCTCCCAGTTTGGATTGGAAAAGCAGAGAATAACTGGAAAAAGAACCAAGATTGTTCTTTTGTCTCTACATTTATGATGGTTGGGAACAGGGCTTACAACAGCATGTTCGGCTATTGAAGCATATGTTTGAATTCTCTAGGGAAAAGAAAAGGAGATTGGAAACGACTTTTGTATGAAATCACCCAGAATTCTCAATGTCTGTGGGACCCTGATGGCTCTTAAATCGTATTGGGTACTGGTATTGGGTGCCTGTCAGGATTCTTTAGAACATTTTGAGATCAGGTGTTTTGTTGCCCATGTTTAATACTTCCCATGTAGAGATGTTCACATGGTCAAGGGCTCTAGGTTCACATAAACAAGTTGATAACCTGATCTAAAACATTAACATCAGCCATCATGATCCCACTTCAGAGCCCTTAGCCCATTACTAACCAGAAGATTAGTGACTGGATAAAAAAAGTAGTGACTGGATAGAAAAATGTTTATTGAACATTGGAGCACGTATATCTTTACAGATAAATGGTTTCAGTTGTTAGGGGTATATACCCAGGAGAAGGATTGTTGGGTCATATGGTGATTCTATTCTTAATTTTTTAAGGAACCTCCATGCTACCTTTCATAGTGGCTGCACCAATCTGCATTTCTATCAACAGTGTATGAGGGTTCCTTTTTCTCCATAGCCTCTCCAACACTTGTTATTGTTAATATTTTTAATTATTATTAATTAATATTATTAATATTTGTCTTTTTGATGACAGCCATTTTAACTGGTGTGAGGAGATATCTCATTGTGGTTTTTATTTGCATTTTTCTGATGATTAGTGATGTTGAGCATCTTTTCATCTGTCTAGTGGCCATCTCTATGTCCTCTTTGGAGAAATGTCATCAGGTTCTCTGCCCATTTCTTAATTGGATCGTTTGTTTTTTGTTGTTGTTGTCTAAGATCCTTATATATTTTGGATATTTGCCCCTTATTGGAGGCGTTGTCTGCAAAAATCTTCTCCCATTTGGTTCGTTGCCTCTTTATTTTGTCGATGGTTTATTTTGCTGTGCTCTGATGTTCACTGCAGCTTTATTTATGGTGGCCAAAACATGGAAAAAATCAAAGTGTCCTTCGATAGATGATTGGATAAAGAAGATGTGGTATATATACACAATGGAATACTATTCTGCATAAGAAAGATGATATAGTGCCATTTGCAACATGGATGGATCTTGAGATTATTATGCGAAGTGAAATAAGTCAGACAGAAAAAGTCAAGAATCATATGATTTCACTGATATGTGGGATATAAAACTGAAAACAACAAAGGAATAAGACAAACAAACAAAGAAACAAAAACTCATAAACACAGGCAATAGTTTTGTAGTTACCAGAGGGTAAGTGGGGAGAGGGGTGGTGGTAAATGAGGGTAAAAGGGATCAAATATATGGTGATGAAAGGAGAATTGACTCTGGGTGGTGAACACACAATGTGATACATAAATGATGTATTACAGAATTGTACATATGAAACCAATGTAACTTTACTAACCATTGTCACCCCAATAAACTTTAATTTTAAAAAATGTTTATTTGTATACTTTCACTCCTATTACAAATTTCACTTTTGATAGTTAAAAAATTTCCTCATGGATCACTGCTTCAATTATATAAATGTCTAACCATTATGCTGTACACTTGAAACTAATATAAAATAATATTGAATGTCAACTGAAACTGAAAAAGAATAATTAAAATAAATAAAAAATAAATTAAAAAATTTTGAAATAGTTCTGAAATTATCTTAGTTATTTTTAATAAGCTTATTGTTACATAGCAAACTTTCCCCAGAACTCTCCAAATTACTTATTCTTTTCTGCTTGGAAAATATTATTTTTTTCACTTAATGTGTCACCTATATATATGCTTAGCAAGTATTTGTATTTATCTTTGAACCTTCCATTCAATATATGTCCCAGTTTTTCCTTTATATTGCATGTTATTAGTTCCACCTAGTTTTTACTCTTCCTTCCCATATATATTTCCAAAATTTAATTTTTTTGAATTTTTTTTGGTAGCCAAATCTTCCCCTTTTGAAGTAACATTTAACTCCAATTTCAATGTTCAGAAGGCCAGGCAAACTCATACTTACCCTTCATTACAAACGAAGGACACTTTTGCTCCAAGCTCAAGATTAAGAGGAACTAGCACACGGCCATTAGGGATTTGGTCTATGAAGTCAGCACACGATTTCACTGGAAAAAGAAGTAAAACAAACAGAAATAACACTGGCACATGAAGAATAAAGACACAAGTTCAAAATGTCAAACCAAACAAGAATGTAGGCACCTGCACATCTGGGGGCTACTGGGCTCCAGTCTCCCTGGGGTGTACAATGCAGAGAAGCAGCCCCTCTCAGATCATAGCCAGGCTCACAGCTGTACAATACTCTCTGCCCAGGGAAAACGTTCTCCTTGTTGTTGCTGAGGTTGTGTTTACCATGCAGGATTTCTGGAGGTGGCTGACATACTGGGGAAGGAGAACCAAATGATGTTAATTGTGTGAAAATAATGTTTCCTGAGTGGTAAATGGCCAACAGAATCATAACTATAAGTATATATGTTGCAAAAAATCTGGTAGGCTAACACCCTCATTTTATTAATGGCAAAATGAGAGAGAGAGAGAGAGAGAGAGAGAGAGAGAGAGAGAAGAGATGGGGGGAGTGGCTTGACAAAAGCCACGGAACTGATTCACTACAGAACTGTGACTAGAACTGAAATATACTTGATTCAATTGTTTTTCATCTAAAGTACTGACCTAAGATTACACAGCAGACAGTTCCCTTTTAGAATGTTTCCTATTACTGGTCACCCAGTACACAATTTTTAAGATGGAAGGATTTTTATATCTTCATGCTACCTTTCTAGAAAGGCATCACCAATTTACAGTCCACATTTTAAGCATTAAGGAATGTGTCTGCCCAAGTCTCATCTCACTGATTTGCCAATCACCAGTCTCACTCTAATGCACCCAAAAGGATTCACATCTCTTCTCATTCCCTTTCAACTCCTCTCTCAGTGGCCACCAGATGTGGGTTAGAGGGGAACTATGAGTTTCCTCTCTACACTCTGTATACCCAGGTGTTGCTTAAACACTTAATTTATTCCAACAAGAAGATGGGCAACCATTGAACAAAATCTTTAAAAAAAAAAGGCTACACCCTCATGAGAGTACATATTGCACACAGCATATTGTAACTGAGTCTTTGACTATCTCTTTGAACAGTTGGTTTGAACTCAGAATCAGAATGCACTTAAGTCTCAACTAAATTATATAGAACTGTAGTAAAATTAAAAATTATTTTACTTTGGCTTAGAACAGGTCAGTTCCCCTCTCTGGACTTCAGATTTCTTAAGTATAAAACGGGTGATTGGACTAGAATAAATGACCCACTTAAAAACGTTGTAAATACTCCGGTGCTATAAAACCCATTTTCAGGGCTCATTACCCTCTGCCTCCTTGATTAACAAAAGCAAAGTTATATGGTATTTAAGTACTGTGTTGGTTCAATTTCTGTTGACTCAGGGACAACATCTCTGCATTCTCCTTTGACTGTTGAGGCTGGAAGCCTGCAAACTACAGCTGCTCATCTTCCTTGCAAGCTGAATTATGGTTAAGCTTTGTCAATTGGTGACATATACAGCAAATTAAAAGGCAGGGAGGCAAGGTAGAAGCCATTCTTCTTCTAAAGGAGGCTCAGGAAGTGGCAGTGTTGATGGCTCTTACTTAGCAGCAGCAATTCTACTTCTAGTAATGCATGACTTTGATTCCAGCAACCTCAGCAATATCCTGGGAGCAGTGGTGTCTCCTGCACCATTAGCAGTATTGGAGGAGATGCCTGCATATTGACACTTGCACTAGTGAGGGCATGTGCCTATGTTCTACTCTAGGAGGAATGGCAGCTTCCTGCTCTCTGATAACAATGCCTTCCTTCTTTTGCTCTTCCTGCCTTTCCAACATCCTTATATCCTATTATCTGTACTCCTTGAGATATCTAGAGTGGTTTTTAATTTCCATGGCTCTGGATTCAGGCAGACTTGTGTTCTAGTCTTCAGTCCATAAGTTAATATCTGTTTAATCTTGGAAAGTTATCTAACTTCTATAATACTCATTTTGTCTGTAAAACATGGAAAGAATAGCAACCACATCATACTTTTGATTTCAGGATTAAGTGCACACATAGCCTGTATTATGGTGCAATGACAGAGAAATCAGTCACTAGATATTAGCAATCAATATGCTTAAGACTAACTGACAGACAATGAAGAATGGAGGTAGTGCTGCATGCAAATAACTTCTATTTATAAGAAGCCTAAAGAAACTTCACATTCTTTGACCGCAGTTAGCTTTGCTTCTCAATTTAACACACACACACACACACACACACACACACACACTTACACATACTTCCCTCCCAAAAACATTTACTCAATCACACTGCTCATCACACATCTTTCTACCAGAACAAACACTAATCTTCTGATCCTCCTACAACTCAGTCATCTATAGGCCACTACAAGGCCTCAATTAGACTCACCCCTGGAACAGCTGGGCAACTCTGGGTCCCATTTGTTCTGGGCCTGGCATTGCACACTGGATGGTCCTTTCATGACAAAGCCAGGCTGACACCTAAACCTTACGATTTCATTTAAGGAAAACAAGTTTCTGTCCTCAGGATCCTTTATTCCATTTTCAATTACTGGAGGCATGCATTTATTAGGTATAATGCACTGAGGGGCAGGGTCGCTCCAGGTTCCAACTCGATTGTCTTTGCTGGTGCAATGTATGGATCTCTTGCCTATGAGGTCAAACACCTTTTTTTTTCTCTTTCCAAGATTGCAGTGATAGGTCACCACCATTCCGTATTGAAAATATTCTCTGTTGCTGCTATAGAAATCTCCATTGGCAATGGTTGGTGGTGGCTCACAAAGAATACCTGGGAAAAGAAAAGCAATTTAAATAATAATGAATTAAAATAACTAATGAGACAAGGTGGTGCAGTAGGTAAATGCTGTACTTGCATCCTCTCACGACCACATCAAAATTACAACTAAACTACAGAACAACCATCATTGAGAATTGACAGAAGTAAAGCTGAACAGAAGTCTTATAACTAAGGAAATACAGAAAAAGCCACATCAAGACTAGTAGAAGGCGTAGAGACACAGAATAGGCTAGACCCATACCTGCGTGTGGTGATTGAAAATTAGGAGGGATATCTCAGCTGTGGAGCTCCTCCTTGAAGGCATGAAGGGTCCCAGCTCCACACCAGGCTCCCCAGCCCAGGGTTCCAGTGCCAGGGAGGGAAGTCTCCATAACTTCTGGCTATGAAAACCAGCAGAAATTGTGGCTAGGTGAGACAGAAGACAGCTAGAGTTGCAGGTGTCCCTCTTACAGGGCCTGTACATGGATTCACTCACTCTGAGCTCCAGTGCTGGGGCAGCAGCTCCAAAGGCACCAGTGACATACAGAAAGGAAATGAATTACCTGGCTGCAGAGTGAGGGTAGGACAGACAGCTTTCACCCAGACAGAAGTGCTGGCAGAAGCCAGTGTTTCTTTGTTGAGCCTCCCTGCACCCGGTGCAGACACAGGGCAATGCCTTATCTCAATCTCCAGCTACCTGGCTAACACCATTCACCCTGCCAAAATGGAGAGACAAAGAAAAATGTCCCAAATAAAAGAACAGAACAAACCTCCAGAAAAAGTACTAGACAAAAGTACAAAGCAATCTACCAGACACAGAATTCCAAACACTGGTTGTAATGATGCTCAATGATCTCAGAGATAACTTCAACAAAGAGATAAGAAACATAAAAATAGAGATAGAAAACATAAAAAAAAGAACCAGTCAGAAATAAAGAATACAATAACTGAAGGGAAGAATACATTAGTGGGAGTTAACAGTAGATTAGATGAAACAGAAGATTGAATCAGTGATTTAAAAAATAAGGTAGCAGAAAACACCCAAACAACAACAAAATGGAAAATTAATCCAAAAAACGAGGATAGTTTAAGGGGCCTCTGGGGCAACATCAAGTGTACCAACATTCACATCATTGAAGCACCAGAAGGAGAAGAGAGAAAGCAAGGAATTTAAAAATCTATTTCAAAAAATAATGATGGCAAACTTCCTGAACCTGGTGAAAGAATTAGACATACAAGCCCAGGAAGCACAGAGACTCCCAAACAAAATGAACCCAAAAAAGCCCACACTAAAACACATCATAATTAAAATGAGAAAGATTCTTAAAAGCAGCAAGAAAAAACAGTTATCTACAAGAGAGCTCCCATAAGACTGTCAACTGATCGCTCAACAGAATCTTTGCAAGCCAGAAGGAACTGGCAGGAAATATTCAAGGTGATGAAAAGCAAGGACCTACAACCAAGATTACTCTACACAGCAAAGCTATATTTAGAATCAAAGCACAGATGAAAAGCTTCCCAGGCAAGAAAAAGCTAAAGGAGTTCATCAACATCAAACCAGTATAACAAGAAATGTTAAAGGGACTTCTTTAAGAAGAAGAAGGGGTAAGAAAAAAGACCAAATATATGGATAATAAAATGGCAATAACTACTTACCTCTCAACAATTACTTTAAATGTAAATGAATTAAATTTCCAATCAAAAGATAGAGTGGCTGAATGGGTAAGAAAACAAGACCCTTACATATACTGCCTATAAGAGATTCACTTGAAATCAAAAGACACACACAAACTGAAAGTGAAAGGATGGAAAGATATTTCATGAAAATAGAAACAAACAAAAAACTGGGATAGCAATACTTATATCAGACAAAATAGACTTTAAAACAAAGGTTATAACAAGACACAAAGAAGGACCCAATAATTCTACTTCTGGGTATTTACCCAAAGAAACCCAAAATACTAATTTGAAAAGACATGTATAGCCATATGTTTATTACTATATTGTTTACAATGACCAAGATATGGAAGCAACATAAGTGTCCATTGATAGGTGAAAGGATAAAGAAGATCTATCTATCTATCTATATATATATATATATACACATATACACACATACATATGTATATGTATAATGGAATATTACTCAGTCATAAAAATAATAAAATCTTGCCATCTGCAACAACATAGAGGGTATTATGCTGAGTGGAGCAAGTCAGACAGAGAAAGGCAAATGCCATATGATTTCACTTATATGTGAAATTTAAAGAACATCAACAACAACAAAAACAGAGACAAACTCAGAGATACAGAGACCATTTTGAGGATTGCCAGATGGGAGGGTGGTTAGGGGGTAGGGTGAAGAGGGGGAAGGGATTAAGAAGTATAAATTAGTGTTTACAAAATAGTCATGGAGATGTAAATTATGGCAAAGGGAATATAGTCAATAATGTTGTAATAACTATGTATGGTGTCAGAGGGTACTAGATTTATTGGAGTGATCACCTCATAAGTTATATAAATGTCTAATTGCTATGTTGTACATCTGAAACTAATACACTATTGTACATCAAAAAAATAAAATAACTAGTGAGAGAAATTCAATGAATCACTTAACTGTACTTATTTTTACATTCATTATTTGCTTTTAATTTTTGTTAACATACACATTAGGTTTTACAAAGTTGTAATTTAGGTAGGCATAATAGCATTTATTCTGACTTTCCTACTTCTATTACTTCCTGTAAACAAACCCATTAATTAATAAAATTCATATCCTTTTCCTTGTAAATAACTCTTTGATCATATTATTATACCATGCTTTACACAATTTCCCCACTACTCTTTTCCATTTGCCTTCTATTTTCATTTTTGTTATTAACTGAGTATAGCTTTTTTAAAACATGAAAAGACCCTTGCTAAAAAAAAAAGTGTAAGGAAAGAAAGACAACATAGATATACAGCAGTAGTAAATTGAATTAAAATATATTTGCATATATAAGAGAATATTTATGAAACTTTAGACTTCTGTATGTTAAACATTTTGAAAATCTAAATTATATAATGAAAATATAAATTACCAATATTTATCCAAAAAGATATAGTAAGCTAGAAAGAGAGAGAGGGAGGGATGAGGAGGGAAGGAAGGAAGGAGGGAGGAAAAGAAGGGGGAGCAAGGGAAAGGGAGGAAAATAAAAGTTATAATTATCTAGTGGTTTTATACAGTTGTCAACCAGGCTAAACTGGAACGACGTTTCTCAGACTTACTTGATCTGTATGGCTCTAGGTTAGGGTTGGAGCTTGAGAAATTGGCATGAAATTTGAGAGGCAGAAGCAAAGCAACACCATTCCCCTCTGAAGCTCATCCTTGTTTAAAGGTGGCCAGGGGACAGATGCAAATGTACCATAGGTTCCAGTGTGTTCTCATACTCCCTATTTTTGCATCCAGCTCTCCTCAAATGCTGATCTGCACACCTACAATGATTCCAATCCACTCTCAGCTGTGTCACTCTGAACTTACAGAAGCAGCAATCACGAAGAGCCAACAATCGTTTTACAGCTTTCTACACCAGCCCTCTTCACAGTTCTACTCCAGCTGCCAGATGCACTGAGCTTCCTGAAAGCACCCACTCCAAGGCGCCTGGTTAGTGACTTTTCTGACCTTTTTAGAGCTGCTCCTCACACAATAAGGTCTAATTCCATAACAAATCTCTTATTTCATATACTGATAATAGTTATGCCTCCATATTTGGACCAAAAATTTTCCCAGGGGAACAGAGGAATCCGCGATTGGTTCTTTAATATGATTATATTTAAGGACATTGATATTAATGCTGACCCTTAAAAAGGGTACATAAATAGTTGATTGTGTGCAGGGACAAAAGATCACCTAGTTATTTATCACCTGTAGTCATCTATCAGCAATAGGAGCAAGGCTTTGGGTTGCTGACCTAGAACATTTTGGGGAAGGGATATCATGTGGCTGGTTGCTTGCTTCTAAGTGCACAAAGAAATTAAGAGAATGAAAATGGTGAGTTCAAAGCTTTAAAGTCCTGCTCAAGGTCTGGATCTGAAAGCTTCCATGTCTGCCCTAAAAGAAACACTTGTATTGTGTAGCCACTCAGCTAAGATTCCTGAAAAACAAATTCAACATCTGATTCTGTGGATGATTTGCAATATGAATTGAATTCACAACTTCACAGGGTCCCTTATGTTAAAGTTGGAGTACCGATTGCAAGACAACCCTGAAAACTGAGACGGAGATATATGGACAGGTTCTAAAGCTGAATGCTTTGAACCTAGAAATTCTGCTGAGCCTCCTTTGCTAGAAGAAGCAGCCCTTCCTCCACTGTCTGAGGAGGTAAGCATCTCCTTGCTGAAAGAAACGGTAATGGCCTGTCCTTTGGTAGCTGATAGGGCTGCCAGAGGAAACATAGGTAGTGCAGTTAAATTTGAATTTCAGCAAAACAATAACAAATTTCTAAGTATAAGTATATTACCAAATTTCATGGCACATATTTATACCGCAAAAATGTTCATTGCTTATCTGAAATTGAAATTTAACTGGGCATCTTATGTTTTTATTTACTAAGTCTGGCAACCCAAATTGCAAGGACTGATGACATCATTTCTAGCCCTTTGACCAGATTTAAGTCATGGTAGAACTGGGAATGGAGCAGGGGGAATTAAAATTATGACCTGTGAAAAAGTGCAAATTGCACCCAAAAAATTGAGATTCTGAATTCAATGTGTTAGCTTGAACCATAGACTAACTGAAACAGAAATCAGAATGATTTGTCTGCTGAGTCAGTTAATCGATCAGTTAATTGATCATGGAGTCTCAAAAAGTGAAGTAGATGAATAGTGGGTTAAAGTTTTATTTGTTTTGTACAAGCAGAAAAGATCTATGTCTGGTGATTGAAAGACTGACTTGAAACACAGCAAAAGAGAGTTGTGGTTATTCATCAACCAATTCCCAGGCTGAGAACCAGTTTGCAGACATAGAGGAGCTTGAATAAATGGGAAATTGAATCTTCTTGAGGAAGCACCCTACTACACAGCCACAACATACAGGTAAATTTTCCTCCTAGCCTTCATCAAGGAGGCTTAAAGCAATTTACTGGGTTTAGGTATAGAAAAGTTTACAGAATTAGAAATAGATGTTAAAATATAGAAATAGGTATAGATATATGATCTTTTAATAAAATAAGATCTTTATCTATATATCACCTATGTAACTTTACTAACAATTGTCACCCAATAAACTTTAATTTAAAAAAGTAAAATAAAATAAGATCTTACAAACTGTTTGGTCATCTGATTTTTCTCACATAAAATATATATAATAAACATCTTTGCATGTCATTAATTGCTTCTCCATATCTTCCTTTTATGGTTGAATAACATTCCAGTGTATGGAGGTATTTTTTCTAATTCTGCATGGCTATTTTATGTTTGTTAGGGAATTCTCTATAGTCATTTTTATCACTTTTCATTCCTTGCAGTAGATTATTTTTTTTCTTTTAAGATTTTATTGGGGAATTGGGGGAGGGGAACAGCGTTGGGGAATCGGGGGAAGGGGAACAGACAAGTTGCTGTCCTTTTGTTCTTCAGTCTAGTTGTGGAGGACGTCGCTTCACTGGCCACGTTGGTATTATCATTGTGCTCTTCCCGGCTGAGACAGATCGGTCACCGGCCATTGGACGACCGCTCACAGCGGCTCTTGGCAGCTCACACCATCTGCCGGCTGCTCACGCTGGCTGCCGGCCACACACAGTAGCTTATGGCAGCCCACTGCAGAAGGGGCTACAGCCTACGCTGTCGCCAGCGACTCATGGCAGCCCAGCTCCAGGTCGAGCTGTTGTTCATCATCTTAGCTGTAGAGGGCAGTGTCACTGGCCCTCATGTGGGATCCGAACCGGAGCCCTGCTGCTCAGAGCTGGTGTCCCAAGCCAGCTATTAACCAATGTGCCACTCGGCTGGCCTGTAGTAGATTATTTCTAAACCATATTTTGAAACATGTAGTGCACTTAGGTTACTTTAACAATTTTGCTATTGTAAAGAATGTCGCAATGAAAGGTTTACAGTGAACTCCTTGCAAAAATCCAGGTTTATTTCCTAAGTATGAATTCTAGAAAGGGGGTCAAAATATATGCCCACTTTTGAGGCTTATAGTGAATGGTGACTTTTGAGAGGGCTTTGTGAACACTCAGCACATGAGAGTGTTGATTCTTTTTTAGAGTGTGTCACTTTTAAAATCTTTACTTATTAGCCAGGTAGAATAATTATTATATTGGGGATGGCAGAACCCTCATAATCCCAAATGTACTAAAGTAAAAATCCAGCTTGGAGGCTTTTATGCATTTAAATTCCCAGATTCATAAAAGGCACATCTCAGAATAAGGATGAACTTAAGAAAACATTTGCCAGAAAACCCACAGGTAGTTTTGGGAACAGTACAGCTGTCTTCAACTATCTGAAGGATAGAATAAACAAAATGGAATTCAATTCAGATTTTTATAACTCCAGGTGGAAGCTTAGGATCTATTGGTAAATGTAATAGAAAGGAATATTTCAACTCACTCTCACAAACAGGTGCAATATTATCCCAGCCGACAATATTGTCTATGATGATGCATGTAATGGAGGGTTCACCAATGAGTCGGTATCTAGAAGCAAACAACAATGAATATTATATTCTAAATGCACAGGTAATCTCCCCGCTAAAATTGCTACTTACAAGAGATTACAATCTTGGAGAATTCAGAAAGACAATTTCCGTTTGTCACAGTACTACCGCTTTCTCAAATTTTATGTTTGTGTTTGAACTTTTAAATTTTCTTCCTTATACCTTCTAAACTGAATGGGATCTCTCTTGATTACCTTAGGGTACATTTTTAATAAATTTAAGGTAAACAGATTCATCAAACGATAACCAAAGGAAATCCATGCAGAACAAAAAAAGTTGAACCCTAATTTCATATTTTGAATGTTAAAGGCAGAAATTCCCAATTTGTATGCCACAAACTGTTTATAGTGTGTCATAAAATTTGGGAAAACTAACAACATTTATATTTACTTCAACAGAGGCTCTCTACAGGGATGAAATGCTGGGCTGAACCATTCATGGGAATTGGTATAAAGTAGGGCCAAATTTGATATTATTACAAATGAAGGCAAATGATGTCAAATAACAGTCAAGTGTTATTTGGTATAGCTAGGATGTTGCTTTATGAATATATAAGAAAATATGGCAGCACAAAGTCTATTCAAACAGCAGAACAAACCAAATGGAGATCAAATGAAAATTGTGAGAGCTGTGGAAATCTTGTGCAGATTCTGGCCTACTTTTGTGGGCTTTAGATCCAATGAAAATTTAATTTCCTGAGCCTTGCAATACCATTCTGGTCCTCTCCATTCTTCTAGCTCCACTTAACTTCTCAATGTGTCCCCCTGAAGCTTTCTGAGAATGAAGTTACTTCCCTGGGCTGCCTGGTGTCACTAGGTGAGGAATGGGGGATGTTTAACCCTTGGGATGAGCTCTCTGGCCTGTTCTCTGGCTACCTGGTGAAGGTGGGCTTCTCACTTCGTCTATGTTGGTGCCAACAGGGGAATAAGGCATCTATCTAGACTCTCTTTTGCTGTTGGGTGGAGGACCAGGAGACATGGGTCTAGGAGGCTTTCTTCCACAGAATGGAAGATCAAGAGACCCTGAGCTTGGTTCACCTTCTGATGCTGGCTTGATGGCTCACTACCTTGGGTGTACAGTCAAGAGACACTGGCCCTGGACTTCTCTCTGATGTAGGGGACACTGGGTTTTCTGGGATCCCTGGTAAAAATGGAGGGGGCCTCTTGCTGCTGTCTTGAAGTCTATGTCTCACTAACCAGGCTCTGCTGATGCTGCCACTGTAGGCAGAATAGGACCCACTACTGCTGGATGCTATAGGGGAAGAGGTGTGTTGGCCCACTCGGAATCTGCTATTGACACAGTTGCTGGTAGAGAAGGGATTGCTACTTCCTGTAGGTGTGGGACATGGGAATGATAGCCTACAGCCTATCCCCATTTCCAATTTCTGCTTATGATGCTAATGTGAGCAGATCGAGCCACCACAGCCACTAAGTATGGGTCTCCCCACTATGTCCCTACTTGACTTCTTCTTTCCCAGTCGTATGACCAGAGAGCAAATTCTTCTCTCTTCTCCTTCTCCTCCTCTCTCTCTCTCTCTGACTGTTGCCTGTTCCAATTTGCAGTTCTCTTCAGCACACAGTCTGAGAGATAAAAAGAAAACCAAGGGAACTTACAAGTATCTTCAAGTTCTCTGTGGTCCCTAGCCAGTTCACCTTTTTTCCAGCTTTTGTGTTCCTTTTATGGTTGCATGTTAAACTACTTCCAGGGTACTTAGTTATACATAAAGAGAAAAGCAGGGAAAAGTGAGTCTGCCCATCTTGTCCTGGAACTAGAAGTTTTGTAATAACTTTTTAATAGCTGATTATTAAATTTAATTCTTATTCATGTAGAAAAAAGAGGGAAAGGTATAGAAAATTTCAGTAATGGAAAAAAAATTACCCAAACCCTATCTTACAGAAATTTGCATACTAAATGGTTTAGAGCAGTGTTTCTCAAAGTTTTATTTACATGGAAATCACCTAGGGATCTTGTGAAAATATATTCTGATTCAGTGGATATGAAGACTCTGTATTTCTAACAAGCCCTGAGGAGATGCTGACTTTGCTGATCTCTGGCAAGAGCTTAGAGTACATTCTTTTCTATAAAGAGATATACATGTAACATGAATATCAGTTGTCAGTAGGTGTGGTTAAACTGGACCAGGACCTATAATTCAGAGAAGTGTGAGAGTCCTTCACCCCCCAAATTGTTGTGCACCCTGGGCTTACTTCTCCACACTTTTCTCTGTGTCCATGTTCCTGAGTCCAACCTTGCTGTGTTTGAGTTCTTCATTTCTTTTATCCAGCAGCAAAGCCCAGTCTTTTCCTAGGGTTCTCCCCCAAATCCACTTGCTCAAAGCACTTTTTATTGTTGTTGTTTAATTTGGGGGAGATTTTAGGAAGGTGTTACACTGGAGATTGGATGCCATTAGGCATTTCACTCTAAACCTCATTTGTCTTTCTACTCCTTCTTTTCTGCAATAACAAGCAACCTTTTCCCCTTGCCTTATACAGAACAGCCCCTTTAGGGTCTCAACTTTTAAAAATATAATGACTATCCTAAGAGAAGTTCAGGTTAATAAAATTTGTCCATATTTTTATGTATGTATGTAATACATATATATATATATATATATATTATATATATTTTCAGTTGGAAATTATATTGAAAATGTTTTATCCTATTGGGGTAATATCCATCAAAATACATATGAATTTGTTTTCTCCACTTTTGAGGTCAAGAATGAGACATATACTACAAATCTATCACTTTAAAAATTATAGTGATTTCCAGTCAAGATGGCAGAAGGTAAATGCTGTGCTTGCATCCTCTCATGACCACATTAAAATTACAGCTAAACTACAGAACAACCATCACTGAGGTTTGCTTGAGGTCTATCAGAACCAAAGTCCTACAACTAAGGACATACAGAAGAATCCACCTTGAAACTAGTAGAAGGGGCAAGACCCTGAACAGGCTGGTCTCATGCCTGTATGGTAATTAAAACTTAGCAGGAGTATCTCAGTTGTGTAGGTACCCCCTGGAGGAACAAAGGGTCCCAGCTCCATGCCAGGCTACCCAGCCCAGATTTTCAGTGCCAGGGAAAGAAGTCTGACTGTGAAACTTCTGGCTGTGAAAACTAGCATAGAGTGTGGCTGGGTGAGACTGAAGGAGGCTAGAGTCCCAGGCATTCCTCTTAAAGGGCCCATGCAAATAATTACTTGCTGGCCAATTCAGTCACTCTGAACTCCAGTGCTGTGGCAGCAGCTCCAAAGGCACCAGGGACATATAAGGAGGAACTGAATTGTCTGGCTTCAGAATGGGGGCTGGAGGGACAGCATTGTCACCGTAAACTTTATGGAACTTTTCAGAAGCTTGATGCGCGTTCTTCCTTTTATGGAAGTAAAACAGTAAAATATGCTCAGTTTGGTCTTCCACCTTCGACTTGTTGTAAAATCTCCAAAACTCAACCAAATTGCTCTATTTTTTTTTTAGAATGAAGCTGGAACTGTCAGCTGTCAAATGACATAGCAATAACATAGATGCAAATGACTCTAGTACTTCCAAAAATGAACTAGTGCCATCTGTTGCAAACATGTGCCATGACTTTTCTGAAGACCCTATATACAAAGCAAATATTGACCAACATGAAGAGAGAGATAGACAGTAATACAAACATTGTAGGGGACTTTAACATCTCATTGACACCAATGGACAGATCTTTCAGACGGAAAATCAACAAGGAAACAGCGACCTTAAATGACACACTAAATGAGATGAATTTAATTGATATTTTTAGAGCATTTTACACCAAAGCAGCAGGCTACACATTCTTTTTAAGTGCACATGGAACACTTTCCAAGATAGACCACATATTAGGCCACAAAATAAGTCTCAATAAATTCAAAAAGATTGAAATCATGTCAAGTGTCTTCTCTGTCCACAGTGGTATATAACTAGAACTCAATTACAAGAAAAAAACCTGAAAAACACACAAACACATGGAGGCTAAATAACATGCTACCAAATAATGAATGAGTCTACAATGAGATCCAGGAATAAATCGAAAGATACCTTGAGGCAAATAAAAATGAAAACACAATTATCCAAAATCTATTGGATACAGCGAAAGCAGTCCTAAGAGATGGAAATTCATAGCAATAGAGGCCTACCTCAAGAAACAAGAAAAATCTCAAATAAACAATTTAACCTTACACTCAAAGGAACTAGAAAAACAACAGCAACAAAGCAAAAAGTGAGCAAAACAAAGGAAATAATAAAGGTCAGATGTCTTTTTCGTGCTTATTATCTCTTTGTTGAAGTTCTCACTAAGGTCTTTGAGCGTCCTTATAACCAGTGGCTAAACTCTGTATCTCATATATTGTTTGCTTCCATTTTTAAATTTCTTTTTCTAGAGTTTTCTCCTTTTCTCTCATGTGGGATGTGTTTTTTTGTTTCTTCATTTTGGCTGCATCTCTGTGTTTATGTCTATGTATTAGGTAGACCTGTAATGTCTCCCAGTCTTGGTGTGGTAGCCTTATGTAGTAGGTTTCCTGTGGGGCCCAATCTCCCTTGTCACCTACACTGGGTTATCCAGGAGTATCCCTGTGTGGGTTGTGTGTGCCCTCCTGTTACAGTTGAGCCATGGTTGCTACTGGCACATCAGTGGGTAGGATTGACCCTCAGGCCGACTGTCTTGAGAACTGACCATGCTTACAGTGTAAGAGCTGCTGTGCGGGGTGGACCCCATGGAGCGGGATTCACCTCAGCAGCCTCTGGTGCCTGCCCAGAACACCCTTTGTGTGTGCTGCTTGTGGGGATAATCAGGTAGTCTGTTGTGGTCTTCAGGTGTGTTCATTCTGTGACCTCTTGGGAGGGGCTCCTGTGTAGGTCAAGTTCAGGTGTTGCTGGGCTACCTGGCAGGAGCCACAAAATGATCCAAGATTTGTTGCTACCTGTGCTTGATCTGGAGGCCATCCTGTGAACCAAGGCCAGCTGCCACCAGTACCAGGACTAGGACAGCTCAGCAAAAGGCCCATGGCACCCTGAGACCTGCCACCTCCTGCTAGCTGCCTGTAAGGCTTAGCCACTGAAGGACTCTCTGTCACTAGGAGAGTTGGTTAAAGTGGGGTCTCAGGGAGTCACCAGAGTGGAGTGAGTGGTGTTCTCCAGGTTAGTGAAGATTCAGATTTGGTGCCAGTGCTAAACCTGGGGCTACTCAGCAAAGGCACTGAGCACACTGAGGTCAGCCATTGCATGCCTGGGGCCCGTGAGCCCTTGAGAGTTGTCCAAGAAAGCCTGCAGCTAAGCCAAGGCATACCACCGACCACCAAATGAGCCTCAGGTGGTACACAATTTGGGTGGGCTAGGGTCCCAGGGAGTCACCAGGGTGGAGCAAATGGAGTTCATTTGGCCTTGTTGGGGGGAGGGCTCAACACAGGGAAGGTGGCACCTGCTCGCCAGATGCACGGGAGAAGGGCTCAACACAGGGACATAAGCAGCTGTCCCTCCATACCTCACACTGAGGCTCACACAACTCAGTCTCTCCTGTATGTTTGTGGTGTATCCTGAGTTGCAGTCTCTTTTCCAGAGTCTGGGGTGAGAGCCAGAGTCTGTTCATGGGCCTTTTAAGAGATGCCTAGTTTTACAGCAGCCTTCTGTCTCACTCAGATGGATGGAATTCCTGCTGATTTTCACAGCCAGATGTTGTGGAAGCTCATTTTTCTGGCACTGGTGCTCCAGGTTCAGGACCCCAGTGTGGGGCTGGGACCCCTTGGTCCTCAGGGGGAACCTCTGTAGTTGATATATCCCTCCCAATTCCCAACTGCCACACGTGGGTGTGGGGCCAGACTGTTTAATGCCTCTGCCCCTCCTACCAGTCTCTACTTGTATGTGGCTTCTTTATATCCTTAGTTATAGGACTTCTGTTCAGCGAGTCTTCAGATGGTTCTCCACGTTGATTGTTCTATGACTTAGCTGTAATTTAAATGTGGTCACAGGAGGAGGCAAACATAGCATTTACCTACTCTGCTATCTTGACTGCAATGTTTCTTAAGGTCAGTAATGTGTAAACCAAAATTCTTTTTATTGCTATTTTAATATTTTACTTATGTTATTTTGTATGTATTGTAAGTAAGCCATAAGTAATAGAAACAAAAGTTAAGATATAAGTGAAGCAGTCTCCCCACTTCTTCCCTAAATTGATTGTCTGCCCCAAGGATAAGCCAAGAACATACTCACAGCAAGATTCCTACACTTCTGATGAGGTGCTGTAACAATTAAAATTAGCCCATCCCCCACATCTGCTCCATTATCCCAAAAAAATCACTCTTTTCCACTTTTCCATGAATCCACCATCTCCATCCAGCTCTTGTTTTGAACTAAGAATATATGTGTATGTTAACTAGTGTTGGTTCCATTTGCTTTTTTAGAGAGCTGATCCTCCCCATCTAATGAAGGCTTCACTTGGTTTTAAGTGCATTAATTTGGTGTGCAATAGGCATGCACCCCAATTTTCTATCATGGATACAGGTTTTTCCTATTTTTGAAATATTTACTTCGTCATTTCAAGGGTAGTTAAATGCCTGGATTCAAGCCAACACCTCCACCTAGAAATTCTATTGCTATGTTTTTATTGGACAGGTAATTTACTTCTCTCTACTACTATTGTTTAGAGATTGGTTTTACAATTCTAGAACTGTCATAGCAAACAATGCTACTGCCAACTCACCCTTGATTACAAGAATAACTAACAGATGATCCAAACTTGGTGTCTTTGCTTATGTCCATATTGCCATTTGTGATATCTGGAGGCGATCCGCATGATTTACCTACAGGAAAGAAACAGAATTGGGGGATTGGGTGTAGAATACTTCCGACTTCTCTTAGCACATAAGGCCCCCACCTGGCTGTAGATTACTGAAGAGCATTTGCAGTTCCACAAATTTTGCCACTTAAGGAATCTCACAAGACTGCCTAAAAATCAAGCACTTACTAAGCACCACTTTCAGAAAGAACCTCCCCTCCAGTTCTGTCTCATCCCCATATTGTGCCTCCCAGAAAAATGGAAACTTTATTTGTTACCAAAGTGTTTACTGTGTGAGTCAACAAATGTAAAGTTAAGGTCTCAAAGTCTGGGCTTTTCTCCCCACCCCGTGCTTTCCTTTCCTTTCCTGAGTCACTCATTACTTAGTTTCAGTTGTGAAAATGGGAGACCCCTATCGAATGGAGATTTCCCCTCAATCATGCCTTGTAATGGTCATTTCTCATGAAATGAACTTGTAATGAAGGTGCCAGGAACTCAAAGCAGTAGGGAGATATGACCTACAAAAATAACTCTCACATCAACTGTACCTTACTTAGGCAAAGTTATTTAGTCATACGTGTTTGAGTCCCAAAATTTAAACAATTGCATCAGATCTTACAGATGTTTAACTGATACAGAGGAGTTCTCACTGCAGAGTTACTTACGTAAACAGGGTAGAGGTTTTGACCAGTCTGAGTTTTGTAAGCAGGTGATAACGAATTTTTTCCTGTGGTAACCAGGGCGGCATTCATAGTTCAAAGATGTTCCAATGGGAAACTCATCCCCATCAATCATATTTGTAGGCTTGGCAAATGGAAAATACTCTGGGGCTTTGCATTGACCTGGAGACCAAGACCACAGCAACATCAAAGTCAATGGAGAACATTTACTCTACTTTCTCTTTTTCTCCAATATGCTTCATAGATGTGATCAAAGAAGAAAATGAACAGTTTAAAAATGGTAAAAAGGATTGCTTTCCTTAGCAGCAACATTAGAAATGAGCTTTTTAAATCATCATGTACCCATTTAAAAAGTCCCTGCTATTTTGAAGGCAGTTACAATATATCCATATCTATATCATCTATCTCTATCTCTAGCTATATAATCTATACCTATCTATTCTTTCACTTAAGGGAAAACTAATTCATAGCTTCAAATTTTAGTCAGGAAGTTTTGTGCTCTGGTTTCATCTGTCCCATCTTTGTTTATCATTCTCTTGTGTGATAGATGCACTCATGCATTTTCCCATACATCTTCACTTTAGAGGACCACCCAGACCTAGCAGGACTGTAAGCCTCTTCTCTGGCCTTCAGTAGCAGTCATTACTATTAATAGATGTTGCCAAGTCAATTACTTCAGCACAAGGAAATTCAGCACATGCATTGTAGACAAAGCTCAAAAACTGAAGCGATACTTTGCTTTATGAGAGCATATATTTAAAAATGCATACATTGAAGGGCCGGCCGAGTGGCTCAGTTGGTTAAGAGCTTGCTCAAGAGTTTGAGCTCTGAGCAACAATGGTTCGATGCCCGGCCCGAGGTGAGCTGCTGCTGAGCTGCCAACAGGTGGCAAGATGGCTCAGCTTAAAAAAAAAAAGGGCTTTACAATTTGGGCCAGCCAAGTGGCGCGTTGGTTAAGAGCTGGCTTGGGATGCCAGAGGGCCCCGGTTCGGATCCCACATATAAGGGCCAGTGACACTGCCCTCTACAGCTAAGATGCTGAACAACAGCTCAACCTGGAGCTGGGCTGCCGTGAGTCGGCGGCGATGGCGTGGGCTGCAGCCCCTGCTGCAGTGGGTTGCCATGGGCTACCGTGTGTAGCCAGCAGCCAGCGTGAGCGGCCAGCAGCCACAGTGAGTGGCCGTCCAGAAGCCGATGACTGATCTACCTCCCCTGGGAAGAGCACAATTATGGTGCCAACTTGGGCCAGTGAAGCAGTGTCCTCCACAACTAGACTGAAGAACAAAAGGACAGCAACTTGTCTGTTCCCCTTCCCCCAATTCCCCAGCGCTGTTCCCATCCCCCAATTCCCCAATAAAATCTTAAAAAAAAAAGAAATGCATACATTGAATTAAATATTAGACTGTTACTTCTCCTTACGGCCTAAAACGTTTAAGTTAAAGTAATAAAAATACCATTTAGAGTCTAACAATATGTAACCAAGAAGTAATATCTGTTGGAAAAATATAATTTTACATTAGTTTTGGAAATATCTTTTCTTCCATTTTGGTTGATGTTCTATTCTCCCCCACAGCCCCTACTAATTAATTCAAATAATGGAAGATAAATTCAGACTGATAAATCAATTCTTCAATGTTATTAGGCTTCAAAGAGCCAACTTTTGGATTTATTGGTTTGCTCTGACTTATCTTTATTTTATCTTCACTGAAATTTTCTTATGTTTATTTGCTATGTTTTTAAAAAAATAAATTTCTTGGGATGATAAATTAATTTTTTATTTTCAGCTTTTCATTGTTTCTAAGTAAGCTTTCAGATTATTTTTATTATAAGTATAGATTTAGCTGCATTCCAAAAGTTTTGATGTACCATATTTTCAGTTCAAAATATTTGATAATGGCCATTGTAATTTCCTTATTGACCCATGACTTATTTACAAATGTTTTACATAATTTATAAACATTTGAGGAATTGTTTTGGCTGTGTATTTATTATTCAGCTTTGAAATTAATTGACGCTTGTTTTATGGTTCAGCATATGGTCAAATGAGGTAACTGTGTCATATGTATTTTTTTAAATGGTGTGCCTGTGATAGTGAGTGTAGTGTTTTGGTTATGTCAGTGAGGCCCAATCAACAATTAATCAAGCACATTTGTTTAAATCTTCTACAGTAAGTCCCTGACTTACAAACAAGTTCTGTTCTGGGAGAATGTTCATAAGTCAGATTCGTTTCTAAGTCCAACAAAGTGAGTCGTATACACCTTTGACACAATTATACAACATAAAGCCAATGGTTGAACGATTCATGTTGTAAGAACGAGTGACATCTACCATCTTTTCGCCTCGGTCTAATCTCTCAATTATTTTCTCTTTTGTTTCCATGGTTATTGCTTTGCGCTTCCTAGCAGTCCCCTCCACATCACCACTGCTTTTCCTCTTGCTTCGGGACATCCTGGGCTCTGATTGAGCACTGTACTGCCCTTCACTATCGCACTGTACAGTAAGCACACAGCAGCACCACCGTGACAATGTCCGGTAGACACGGGAGCTACTTCTGCGATTTGTTCACATCTACGAACAAATTTTAAAGCAAGGTCCATTCGTATCTGTGAAAGTTTGCAACTTGAATGTTTGTAAGTCAGGGACTTACTGTAATTACTGATTTGGGGGGCGGGGTCTGATTATTGTATCAGATACTAAAGGAATTGTATTAAAATATTCCACCTTGAGGCAGCTGGGTGGCTTAGTTGGTTAGTGTGTGTGGGCAACAGAGTTGATGGTTCCATTCCCACATGGGCCAGTGAGCTGCACCCTCCGCAACTAGATTGAAGACAACAGTTTGAGCTGAGCTGCTGCTGAGCTGCTGGTGGGTGGGCAGATGGCTCAGTTGGTTAGAGCGTGTGCTCTTAACAAGGTTGCTGGTTTGACTCCTGCATGGGATGGTGGGTTGCACCCCCCGCAACTAGATTGAAAACGGCGACTGGACTTGGAGCTGAGCTGCACGCTCCACAACCAAGATTGAAGGAAAATGACTTGATTTGGCACTGATGGGTCCTAGAAAAAACACATTGTTCCCTGAAAAAACACATTATTCCCCTATAAAGTTTTAAAAAGAAACATTCCATTTGATTGTACATTTGTCTTACTTAATTTTCTAATTCTGTCCATTTTAAATTTTATTTTTATTATATTTTGTGATATATTATGTCTAGTAATAAATTTTGTGTCAAATTCTACTTTGTCTACTTTATTTGTAGGACAAATGGAAAACAAATATTAATATGGTAGCTTTAATCTTCAATATATCAATAAATATTTTAAATCTAAACCACAATGGTCATTTAAAGACAGAGATTATCATAGTGCCACATTTGCCAAATCAGTTTTCTTCTGGTTTGTTTTTGCAGGGTATATTTTCCATCCTTTTTTTTTTTTTTTTTTAAGCTGAGCCATCCTGCCACCTGTTGACAGCTTAGTGGCAGCTCAGCTTGGGCTGGGATTCGAACCGCTGTTGCTCAGAGCTTGAACTCTTGAACAAGCTCTTAACCAACTGAGCCACTCGGCCGGTCCTCCATCCTTTTATATTCATCCATTCTGTCTCTAAACACGTATATTGTTTCTTTTGTATGTACCATGTAGTTTTTATTTTTAATTTATTATAATAGAGCTTCCCAAACTTACTCAGTTCACAGCACTGTTAGGGTCTCAGTAATATGTTTGTGTCCTTCCTAACCAAAAAAGAAACACTTAACAGTTCCATTTATTAAATAATTAGGTCTGAACAACTTAATAAGTTTTGTGTCCACCACAATTCTTTTTTTTTTAATTTTTTTTTAAATTGGGGAATTGGGGGATGGGAACAGTGCTGGGGAATTGGGGGAAGGGGAACAGACAAGTTGCTGTCGTTTTGGTCTTCAGTCTAGTTGTGGCCGCTCACGCTGGCTGCTGGCTACATACAGTAGCCCATGGCAACCCACTGCCACAGGGGCTGCAGCCTACGCCGTCGCCAGCAACTCATGGCAACTCAGCTCCAAGTTGAGCTGTTGTTTAAAATCTTAGCTGTAGAGGGCAGTGTCACTGGCCCTCATATGTGGGATCTGAACCGGGGCCCTCTGGCATCCCAAGCCAGTTCTTAACCATCGCGCCATTCGGCCGGCCCTCCACCACAAGTCTTAACAATTAAATGTTGAGCACTGCTCAAATTCTCAAATCTTGGAATCAGATTATAAACCACCACCTCATTTCCCATTCCACATAATTGTTATTTGGTATTTTATTATAGCCACTGTTGAAAACTAACTTTGCAAAGACTTCATATCATCAAGAGGAACTTACTGCAATCTAATGTAAGTAGTAGCTACTCTGAGCTAGCAGCTTATATGCTATCTGAGAGATATTGAGTACGGATGTGTTTCCATTGAAAATTTAAAATATCCCACAGGTCCCCTGTGAGTTCACGGAGGCCTCCAGGGCACCTCAGCCCACAGTTTGGGTAATGCAGCAGTATGACAATCTATGTCTTTAAAGCAGAATTATCTGTTTATATTTAATATAATTGTTGATATGTTATTTGGGATTAGATCTATCATCTTCCTATTTTGCTTTTTTTTTTTAAAGATTTTATTGGGGAGTTGGGGGAGGGGAACAGTGTTGGGGAATCAGAGAAGGGGAACAGGCAAGTTGCTGTCCTTTTGTTCTTCAGTCTAGTTGTAAAGGATGTCGCTTCACTGGCCCATGTTGGTATTATCATTGCGCTTTTCCCGGGTGAGGCAATCGGTTGCCGGCCATTGGATGGCTGTTCACGGTGGCTCACGGCATTTCTCGTCGGCCAATGGCCACTCACGGCAGCCTAGCTCCAAGTCGAGCTGCTGATCACCATCTTAGCTATAGAGGGCGCCACGTCACTGGCCCATGTAGGAACTGAACCGGCGGTCTTGCTGCTCAGAGCTCACACTCCCAAGCGAACTCTTAACCAACTGAGCCACTCGGCCAGCCCCCCTATTTTGCTTTTTATTTGATCTATTTTCTATTCTCTTCTATTTTGCCTTCTTTGTGATTATCAATTATAGTTATCATTTTATTGTTATTTGTATTAGATTATTAGTTATACATTCTTTTATTGTTCCTTTAAAAAGAAGCATGCATCCTTAACATATTAACATGTA